AGCGGGCGATTCCAAATTTTTTTCGTGATGAACAGATACGTTTTAACTCACACGTCTATTTCAAATGACTTCGCTACACTAACGTATAAAGATAATTCAACACGTGTTAATCATACACTTTTTTTCACGGATACAAGTTTTTCTTTCTTCTTTTCTCTTCAAGGATATTTGCGTTCTCCGTCGCAACACTTACGATCACTTCTCTCATATTCCCAGGTCGAGCATTACGACGACCTAATACGACCGTAAACGGCCGTATACGTTAACGTATACTACCGTTTTATAACGTTTCCGACCGTAAATCGCCGTAATTTGACGTTTTGGCCTGCACCGTATCACGGCCGTATATCGCCGTGTCGTAAACGGTTACTAACGGTCGTAACGTGGTCGGATATTTCAGTAACCGACCGTATACAATCGTTTATGGCACGATGCAAAACGACCGTAATACGGTGCATACCAAACGGCCGTAAATTATGATCAAACGGTCGTGTACGACACAAGTTGATCCACCTGGGATTCCTCAGTAGCCGAATAACACATCCAGTACAGAAGAAAAAAACATCTCAAACAATATTGCAGCACCAACCACTTCTGGAAATAGGTATTTCATTTTTTTTCGTACGAAATACTAGATCTAATCATGATCTATCTTTTGATATAAAATTCATAATGGTTCCGATTAAAATCGAGATTATTTTCTTAGCCATTTTATCAGAGATCAGGATTATTTATCAAAAAATTCGATTTGTTCCTCTTATCGTGACCCCGAGGCCAAGGTTTTTTTCACGATATTTTTACATAAAATTCTAGATCTGATCAAGATCTAGTGAATGAGAAGTGCTAGAAGTTAAAAAGTCGGTGGATGTTAGGCGTATTTAAAACGTAACATAAGGTTAAATCCTCATGTTGAACATTAAAGTTCGAGCTGTCTGTGCCTACAAAACATATAATATATTGAACTGATTTTGGTATAAAACAATTTTTGGCATCGTTTTTGATAATTTTGGTAGAGAAAATTCCGATTCCTACAAGGGGCCGATTTCGGCTCTTAACGCCACCCGTCCTTTCTTTTAAAATTCAGAATCTATGTTCAGAATAAAACCAGAATAAATTTTCTACAGAAAAAAGTTCCAATGATGTAAAATAATATTTACTTTGATTGACGTTCACTTGAAATATTCCATGAAAATGGTTATAAACCCTTATGATGATAACAGCAATGATTCTTTCTTTTTCTCATTATTATAATCATGGACGAATCATTGGTCATTATAAATATTCAGCTTGTCAAGCAATTTCTCTCATCTACGCTTTAATTTAATACAGTCATTTTTATCTCTACCAAGAACAATCCAATAGAAATCCTAACATGAACAAACATCTAAATCATATAGAAGAACTTTTCTCTTGGTTATCTAGCCAGATTGAGGTTCACTTAGTCCATATACGGTCGTAAACGGGCGCTTACCTCCGTGTCGTATATGGAGACAGTATAAGAACTTTGTGTACAAATATTGTAGACGATTGTGTTTGTTCGACTTGAGTCGTTGCACACCATTAGGAAAAAGAAAAACTGCAGATCATCCGAAAAAAACTCGAACAAAATTGTTCTTGTTCCTAAGAGTTTCTTATATCGTCTCTTCGATTTTATTATTTATTTTGATTATTTTCTATAATTATTTATCTCTAATTTTTCTTTATATAAGTATCACTGTGATTTCTTACATGGTTTCTGTAATTGTATTAATAATAAATTTGATGATCATTTTGCAAAAAACGAAATTCAGTGATGTAAAGATACTGATCGATACTTTTTTCTAGTCGCTCGCTTCTTCGACAATATTTTAAGCTAAATTTTATAAACCATCAAAAGAAATTTAAGACCTTTTGGCTTTGTGATGCTTATTCGTGTGTTGGTTTTGCATTTGATATGCATTAAACGTTTGATTCTAAGGTATTATATATAAATATTCCTAAATTGTAAAGAAAGGAAACAATGAGAAAACAAAATTAATATCGGCAAGCACTGGTGCTTTGATTGTTCATTGGATCAGTTAATTGAAACTTTTTTTTTGCATATATTATAAGTTTAAAAAAAGAGACAACAAAATCTCGACGGCATTTCAAACGAACTAGATATACTGTACTATCTCATGATAAAAACAAACCCATAAGTTGATTTAAAAAAAACTAAATGTTACTATTACTGTAACAAGGGTTGAACTGAAAGTAGGTAATTTTCTGTACGAGTCTGTTTCTCTTGTATTCAGTTCTATAACCTTCGCCGAGTTAATGGCAATCAATTGATATTATTTTTGATGTTCTTGTATATTTTATTGGTAAAGTAGTAGTAAATGTTGAAATTCTCTTTTGTTTATCCATTGAATATTTTCAAAATAGAGGGAGAAGTCGAGCCCGCATAAATTGCTTATGTTATTCTTTTAAAATTAGCCAACGCATTGCCTTGATAAAGATACAAGTTACCTGATCTATATATATATATATATATTATTGCACGGCTTAAAAATATAATATCATGGTAAACAATGACGAATTTTATTTTTAATATTCATTGCATTATTCATCATAGTAAAACATTTACATTTGATATGAATCATTTTATTTAAATAGAAAATCGAACAATCAGTAGCGCAGAAAAAGAAATAGTTTTATATAATACATATATAACATTCTAAATGTCCCTTAAGTGAATCAATCTTTTTAGTTCGTCAGAAAAGCTATTGATGTAAAAGATATTATTAATAGACTTTCAATGTGATGCAAACACTTATGTATTTTGATATCGATATCTCTCATCATGATTTAAGAGGAGTCTCTTCATGTGAAGATATGAATTCTTTATCAAATACATATTCAAATATTAAAACACGCTGCTAACAACAGTCACTTTTTAAATTCTCATTATTATTGGTTCACTCAACTGTCTGTGTACGCAGCCAAAATGTATTACACAAGAAACCAGTTGTTGTTCCATCCAATATCCAGTTTGTTGCCGTATTGGGAAAGTTTGCTGTCTTCAAGATCATCCAGTATGTTGTCCAACTCATTGTTGTTCATTAGGTTCATATTGTTGTGGAAAAAAGTGTTGTCGACGAAGCCGATGATTGGATCGTCACATTGAAACATAAGAATGAATATCAAAACAAATAATGATGCATATGTATCATTCACGGAAAAACAGATTGGTTTTTTTTTATTTTTATTGTGCTGTTCAACAAATCATTTATACTGTGTCAAATAAACGATCATCCTTGATTTTTTTGTTTTAGTGAAAACGGCGCTTTTTCCAAAAAAATGAAAACATAACTAATATTTATACATCTATATTTTGAAAAGTAATTTCTATTGTATAAGTTCCTTGTAAAATCACTGTGAGTGAAGTAGAATTTTACAATTGACTTGATTGTAAACATGATGGGTTCCATTAAAACTAGAGTATATAAAGATATTAAATATCATGCGAGACAGTAGAAAATCTTTCTAATAACTAAGGCAAGAAACAAATTGATTAAATATAAAATGTAGAAGACATTTTCTACGAATATCCATTAAATATTGATATAGAAATGAAAGATTGACTATCGTTCATATTCATTAATCTATTTTGGATAGTATTTATAAATGTTTACCATGCAGATACTACCCTTGCAATGTCCTAGAAAATAATATATTTGCGCGTGAAGCCATAATCAATATTAGTTTAGATAAAGAGGAAGCCCATAACTAAATTTGCAATCCACATATAACAGAAAGTCATTTATAATTAATATGAATATTTATTTGTTTTCAATTCAACGCTACGAAAGCACATATTATTATCATTGACAAATAACATGAACTGATTTAAATCATCAGAATTTGAAAGTGACAGCCACTTATTTTTTGAATAGTTACGATTAGAATTGTCGACATCTGTTTTCCAAATAAAATAAAAAATAACCCGTTTCATAATGAAAAATATTGTTGAAAATATTAATATTCATATATTCTTATGCAATAATATCTTACATGAAAGACTCAAAGTAAATCATAATCTATTTCTTAAAAATATAGTCCACAAACAAATAGTTTTTAACAATTTCTATATTTAATTTTTGTCAGTTCACGTGTCCTAATTTCATCAGAAGAAATATCGTTAGAAAAATGGTTTTGTTTCTTGCAAAGAAGAGGCATTATTAGAGACAAAAAAAAAGAAGAAGACATGAAATTTACATGAACACATCTAAACGCTAATATATGTTAGAAATCAGTTTTAGTGTTCAAGCTTTTTTGATATATTAGCTTCTTGCATTAAACGAATAATATCTTTTCGAGTTAAAATGCCATGAAGACGACTAGAGAAAAAGATATAGCTCTATTATTAACAAAATAATAAAGAAAAAAATAAAATATTCTCACCCGTTTTTTGTAACAAATATTTGTCTACAACCCAATTTTCTAAACATATCAACTACAGCTTCCATTGGTGTTTGATCTGTTACAATAATTGGTGCTCGATCAACTAATTTGTGTAATTTTAAAATTTTTGATGCTTGCAATGCTATTGATGCTCGACGCATTCCTAATGATGATGGTTGACCTGATTTATTTAATAAATTTGACATTGATACTACTGAATACTTTCGATTCAATAATGGTTTTGATTGTATTTGTGGTGACTGAGTTTTTCGTGATTTAAGTACAGCTAATAGATCACGTCGTTGCACTTGACCGACTATGCAAGGAAAATCTTCACTGATAATAACAGGATAAATCGAGTGTGGATGACGATGAAGAAGTCTATCAATTTGAGCTATTGTCATTCCATCTTGAATAATACATGCTAATGGAACTGTTTCATCAGAACGACTTGCACGTACTGCTTCACCAGCTTTCAGAGTAAATCGAAAACTTTCACGATTTTCTACAAAAAAAAATAAAGATTCTAGTGTAGCATATTTTATTCTGATCGTTTTTTGCTGTCTCTCGTATTACCTAAGTATGGGTAGCCACTTAATTTCACATTCTCCTCGTAAATTCCTTCACCAAATGCATCTCCTACCCATTTGGCTGCTAATGCTGTAACCATCAATGGAACAATATAAGACAAACCACCAGTAACTTCACTCATAATAACAACAAGAGAAACAGTCATTCGACTAACGCCACCTAAAAAAGCACATGCCCCAACAACTGCATATAATCCAGGCGTAACACAATGTTCATTAGAAACTCCACATTCATGTCTTAGTATAGCTAAATGCTGATTTTGATATGCTATCTGTTCTGTTATAATACCAATAAGGCGCCCGGCAATAGCTCCGATTGAAATGCTCGGAACGATCAAGCCAGAAGGAATTTTTGTGCCGATAGTAAAAATAACGAGAGTTATTTGAACAATTAATGCCCAAAATAATTGCCAAATAGCACGATGTATGCCAGGACCCGCCAGAGCAGAATATAATTTAGATGTAGCTGTCCCTGTAGGTTTTTCACGTTCGTAATCACTATAAAGATTTATTTGGAAAAGAAGAAAAAAAAATGATGTTAACTGGTTTGTATTAAAATAATATAAAATTAGATTTACCATAAATCCATATGATTATCAACACGACATTGTCCAACTAACCGTCGAATTAATTCAGGCATTGTTAATCTTAAATAGAGATTTGGATAACAAATAAAAGCAGTAATTAGTGTTAGAATGACAACTTCGGCACGTGGATATTGCCCAATGCGACTAGTTTTTTTATATTTTAACCAGCGAATGTTTGTTTTTATAAATAATGTTCCCCATAGACCTCCTAAGATTCCAAGGCAAATAAATGGAACAACTTCAAATGTTGCCCATGGAACATTATATTCAACAGGAAATTGAATTTCATGACCGTTACCATATGGATTTATTGTACGTACAACAAGAGCACCGATCATACAACAGAAAAATGTTCGCCATAATGTTTTATATGGAAAATAATAGCTTATTTCTTCTAAGCCAAATAGGATGCCTCCAATGGGTGCACCAAATGCAACTGAAACTCCTGTAGCAGCTGCTGCAGATAATATTTCTCGTTTACGTGCTTCATTATTTCCATATTTTGGAAAAAGTTCTAAGCACATAAAAAAGAGGAATAAAAATTAATGATATATTATATCAATGAAACTTTGTTTTCGTACTTGAAAAAAGATTTCCGCAACAACAAGATATATGCACAAATGGACCTTCTTTTCCTACAATAAGACCTGCACTTGTTACAAATATCATGCCAATACTTTTAATAAAAAATGTCCATTTGCCTAAATAGCCATACATTATAAAACCTGATAGAATTGTTTTTATTTCAGGAATTCCTGAAATAAATAAAAACATGATATTTACACATATTAAATAATATAACTAGATATAATAAGGTTTACCAGATCCACTTGCATATGGAGCAGAACCAACGACAAGACAAACAATAAAACCAGAATAAATCACAGACCAAAATATAAACATAAAATACCGGAAAAACCAAGCACTAACGGATAATTCATTCATATCAAATATTTGAGACCATGTATTCCACTAGAAATGTTGAAAAAACACAAACACACTGAATTATGATGATTATCGAAAATCTTTCTATTACAAATGACCTACATGTTCACATAATTCACTATGAACATGGTCAAATTCAACTTCTCTCGAACCCCAACAGCATTGTTCTCGATTAAGCCAAAATGCTGGTGTGCAAACACCAGTTCGCCAATGACTCATCCATTTTGCGCCGATGTCAACAAAGCCAGCTACAAGACCTAAAAATAAACAAAACAAAACAGAAAAGAATGATATGAAATAAATCTCTATCTACCAGCTGATAAACCGACTAGCAATACACAAATCCATCCACTCCATGCATCAAACCAAAATATAAATCGTTGTCGCCAGCTAGCTCGTCTTTGTGCACGTAAATTACGATGTCGAATACGATTTCTCATTAAATCTTTTAGCCAATCAATGGTTTCAAAATTCTCGTAATGTTTACGAACAACATATGTCACATCAGTTACTAAAAGTAATCGACAACAAAATTAAATATATATAATTGCATATATTTTATAAACCTTCTTCATCATATTGAGTTTTCGATGGATTACTAACGCCATGGTTTGTATCAACTATCGTGACAGTAGTTGCAGTACCAGGTGTAACACTAGTAAGTTCAACTTCCTCACCACTATCATCTTGTTCAACAATTGATAAAGCTGCTTGACTTTGATGATCATCATCAACATCCTCGTCCTCATCATCTTCCACGCTAGGGACTGGCGAAAGATATAGGCGTACACAACTATCTGTTGGTATATCACCTGAAAATAAATATTTGTACGCTTCATTGCACAAAAACATATATAATACACATACGCTGCAGTTTTCTTTCGTTAGCATTACCACTGCTGCTGCTCCCTCCGGTAGAGAATGCCATGTGTTTAAAAACACAAGGATAAAATAATGATTTAAGAACGAAAGAGTTTTAAAGAATGAGACTCTTTATTAAGTTCAAAGGGAAATATGTGAACTACTTGATTGACTTTCCTCTTTGTACGAGCGCTTTGTCTAGTAATGAATGTATCATGTGAGTACAAACCTGATGGTTACTTCAATGTTTTCGGTCGTTCTCTTCTCTCTCTCTTTCTCTCTCTCTCTCCAGCGTCTCACTTTTTTACACATCGTTATTCATTTTTATTGTGTGTTTATTCTTCGTTTCAAGGTGGAAATCAACATCGATGTACAACAGGTGGTTGAGAATGAATAATGAAAAACAATGTAGTAGAAAAGAATTCATCTGGATACCGTGCTTTATCACATATTTTTTATACTATAAATTTCATTTTCACTTATCAAATAGAAATATTCTAAAAACAAAAGAAGCAATACAGTAAACTATAGTTTCAAATTTTCAATTTAACATCTGTTGGATATTATTATTTTATAAATACATGATGTTCTTAAAAATAAGTATATTCATCATAGTACTTACTGTAAGAAGGAAAAAGATTTTGAAAACAAATTAATCGTCTTTTCATGAAAACTGTTAAGAGTAATTGATGTTGGTACATTATTTTTTTTGTGCGCATTGAAACTGTAATTGCAGCATCATTACTTACGATAACATCAATTTATCGATAGTTTTTCTCACAGTTAGCCTCAACTAAATTATCATATCGAATGATCTTGATATTATCATTGCTTTTCTCAATTTCAAAATTCAGTACCTTGGCACTTTTCAGTGCTAAAGTTTTTTGAAAAATGATTGCTTTAGGCGGTAAATACTATTAATTGGCATGATTAAAGATTCTCGCATAATTGATAGAGAGTCTCTAATGACGTAGAATTTTGTTTTTTAAACTATATACATGTAGCATGAAAAATCATGATGTTTAGTATATTTTGGTAGATGGACTCGAACTCTTTTCTAAAACCATAACAAGTTCATGCACGCCATCGATTTGTTTACTAGAGAAAAACAAATGATGAAAAATTTGAATACATAAACTATTTACTCCATTAACACTTTCAATGTTGCATACTATAACTAAAGGCTACTTTCTCAGTTCTAACACATACATATTGACACAAAATCAATTCTCATTTTCGATTCAGAATCAAAATACCGCAAGCATGGTCTATGTGCAACTGTTCATTGATTCTTTTATCACATTCTACACGCAAAAAAAGTCAAACGAATTGGCACATGTTCACAAAAACTGTGTCAATATTAAGTCTACTGAATTCAAGCAGTTAAAAAAATCTTGAAAATAATTCTCGCAGTAAATAAGTTACATTTATATCGAGAAAATATTTCTGTTTCCGTAGTTTGAAAGTGTGATTGAACACGATACACTCTAGGTGAAAGAAGGATTCTTAATAAAAAAAACAAATAGTGCACACAAACCGAAAGTACCTAATAATCGTTCACAGATATACAACTATATTGAGAACATTCAGTGATGAACAACAGTGTACTATCATTTTCTGTTGAATATCACGAAAAAACTTATAAGTATATTATTAATCATAGAGTTCAATAGTATCTGCATTAGAGACAAAGAAATATCGTTAATATAGTTGTTTCTCATGTTTCAGTCAACAATTGTAGCATTGGATACCTATGAAAAGAAAGACTACGTATATTAAAATTTAATTCTGAATCATCTTAAACTTCATATGAATACGGAGACTGTCATAATAGCCTAATATGAACTGTAAGTCACATCATCTTTCAATTTATGATTTTTTCTTAGTTATAAATTTTCTTGCAGTATGTATGAAGGCAGTGCAAGCTGTTTTTTTCTTTTTTGTTAACTTTTAACTGCTAGCTATTTGAATAATGCCTACAGCTTAGATACAGTGAATAGGATAATATTCGTGCTATGCCATCTAAGAATTGACAAATCTTTTTTTCATTTTTCATTTGATTACTCGTTCGTAAGTTGATAAATATTTTAAAAGGTATTACTCATGTGTCTGATAGAACAAAATTATATGAACTATGCTTCTGAAAATATATCGACACATCATTGAGAAGATGTTTGCGAGCGAAATATAATTATCGTTAAAGATAAAATTCTTATTAATTCAAGAATAATATTTCACATTTCACAATTAGTCAAATATATTTCTTAGATTAATAATAATATTATAGAATATTCTATTTAAAAATACTTATCTTAACTTAGATTTAAATAGAATATTTTTCGCTAAATAAACAATTTATTTTTTATTTTATTTCTTTCAATGCGTTAATCAGCTTTTTCTAGGTTTACCTCAATTACAAAGCAAAGATCAACAAAAATGATTCTTTATGATTACCTTAAATATTCGCTTCGTAAGGACCTATTACTGCAGTAAGCAGATTACACATCTATCTGATATTATTATAAATTGCGTCAATATTTTATTGAAAAATAATTTTATGGCAATTACAATCAATATTAAATATGTTGTTGATTAATTCAATTGAATCTATGAATGTCGATAGAATGGATGTTTATTATTCATTGATTTCATTGTTTTCAATTGTCATGTGAGATACGTAAAAGAAATTTGATTCAATGGTTAAGATCTATGTATAGCTATGTTTTCTCGCTTACACAATTTCAAGTGTTTGCTATGGATTTAAAGGTATGTACAATTAATTTAAGCATCGTTACAAAGTCAACCACAATATTCATTCAATGCCAATAGAATTGACAGAATCATCGAAATGTTTTTAATAGAGGACGACAAGAAGGTAATAAAATATTGTTGGACTGATATAGTTAAGTTCATTCATAGCTGGAGCAATATATTCTCTAGGAATGAATGTTTATTTTTTTTTACTTAAGATCCATTCGAAAATCGTTGATCTTCAAAAAAACTTGAGAAACTCGTAAAAATGAATAAGAATAGTAAGAGGAATTAGATTCTATTGATTGGATTCTATATAGAGAAGTTAAAAACAAACATCGAGAAAAAGAAATGCAATTTGATTATCAAAACGTTTTACAAGACAAAATTACTTTAATAATTCATATTTAAACTAAGCAAAAATCTAAACATTGAAAGTTTTTTATTTTACATTGTGCTCTGAAACTTTTTTTGTATTTGATTTCATGCTTAATATAGAGATTATTTTGTAGAACACAACGAGAACTTTTGAAAAATCAGGACTACTAAATAGAAGATCATGATTAAGCAAAGAACGAAAGTTATGAAGTGAATGCCATCACATGTCTTTGCTAATTCTATCAAGAATTTTTATGTATATTTTCTTTAGAACAATGAAAATATTCAATTGGAACAATTTGATCACTGATGTTTGAAAAAGAAGAATTATTTGAATGTTAGCTTTTTGTTTCACCAAGCAAGACAGCTCTTAATATGAAGGAAACAAAAGCAAACTTACTGTATCCAACTCGAATACATAGCTACATATGCTTTGACTTGACATTTTTCTCTATAGCTACCATGTGACTTCTTTTCGTTTTCAAAATGTAGTGAACAATTTTCTTGCGACTATATGGTCATAGTGGAGCAGTTTTACGAAGTAGTTCAAATATTCTTGTTCTTCTTCTTTCGATCACATTTCTTTTCCCTCGATAACGTCCCGATATCTTTAATATTGTTAGAGACCAAGAATAAAAGAAAAATTTTGAACTTTCAACTTACTTGATATGATGATCTGTAAGATTATTTTATTATTGTGAATGGAGTCATCAAACGAGCCTTTTTTGATTGTCAATAATACTGCAGAACATTATCAAAATCCATGTCAAGTTGTTCCTTGTAATGCTCGTCAATATTTGATGTGTCCTCATTGTTCATTTTATCTTTGTTTCAAACATGCACAACAACATCAACATCAAATACAAAATGAAACATTTGTTTTGCATAATCGAGCAAAAATTTTAGAAAAAACATTAAAAGAATATAAACCTGTAGAAATAATTATAGGGGAAGTCATGATTTCATTAAATGAATGGAAACAAAAAATGCACAATTTTATCGATCAATATAGTGAACAAATTAAAGTGCATATTGAACAAGCACAAAATCGTCTGAATGATCAATGGATTATAACGAGAGAAGAATATTTAGAAATGCTACATCATTTTATAGTTGAACCTATTGATCAATTGCAAACAGGTATTATTCCAAATTGTTTTCTTTTGTTTTGTCATGAATAACATCAAGGAAAAGAAGAATGAATATAATTCTGTAAATTTTAGCATCAAAACAAATTCATCCGGATGAAATACGACAAATTCATGCTCGATTAGTTCATGCTCAAGACCAAATCACAAATTTATTAGCGTATCGGGATCTGATTCGTATTAATTTTGATTCGTGTTCATTGGATGGCAATATTAATATTTCTCGCGGCCATTTTCCTTCACTGGCAATGCCTTCAATGGTACCTTCGTTGATAGAATCTTCTAATAGATCTGAGGATATTCCTCGTCTAGATCGTACTAATGTACTTTATCGATTCAATACATTATCGACAGATACGTCAGCTTTAGGTGTTTCTTCATCTCGAATTAATGATTCTACTCAAATATTTGTGACATGGACTAAACCAAACAAATTAGTTATTTTTGATGCTAAAAATGGTATGACCAAATATGTAGATGTTGAGCCATCATTTATAACAATTAATGATATTATATGGTGCGATTACTTAAATGTTTTTCTTATTTCTGGTGCTGCTTTGCATACTTTTGATGTAATCAATAATGATGTTAAGAAAATTTTTACATCTGAGAATCCTCAAATATGGTCGATTACTACGCATAAGTAAATTTTTAATCTAAGATTCAAAATATTTTATTAAATATGTTATTTTTGCTTTGAAAAGCAAAGATAATTGACTTGTAATTTTTTTGAAACCATGTTTTTGTTTAATTTTCTTTTAGAACCAGTTTGTTTATCTGTTATGTCATGGGTGAATCACCACTTATTGAACATCGTTCATTACCATCATTTCGAACAATTCAAACGTATACTCGTTCACAACTTTTACCTACTGATTCTTCATCAACAGTTGAAATAGCTCGTTGCATTCGAACAAATGATTATCATATAGCCATGACTGTTAGAAATCTAACTACGTACGAATGGCGCGTCGATATATTTAATCGTCATATGCAACGATTATTCAAAGGTGAAATTTTAGGAAATGCAGTCTATTCAGATTATTGGTGTTGCCTATTAACATGTTATCGATCTTCGTGTTGGTTAATTATGAACAATACATCAGAACCAGAAACATTAACATTAATTGATAAACAAGCACGCATCATACAACAAATTCAATGTGAAGGATACAATATTTGTGTTTTACATGGGCAAAAACGTTTCGTCATTAAAGATCAACATGGATTAGCAGTATTTCGTTTTTAAATATATAGATATATATTTGTCATCTGTTATTTTAATTGTATTTATTATTGTAGTTATAAATATATATATCTATTAGTGAATTTCGATCATTCATAAATAAGAAGAAACGAAAAATGATAGAAATCCCAATAGAATTATTTCTTTAAACTTACAATTAATGAATTAATAAATTTTAATTAGAACTATTGGAAAGTGATTAAATTCAGAAATTTGGGTCTAAAATAAATTGTTTTAAACGTTATAGATATTTATGATGCGTATGTAATATGAGCAATTAAAAATGTTTGAAAAGGTTCATCTAAAACCTCAGTGGATGTGAGATATATTTATTACTGCACGATAAATAACATAAAATAAATTATTCACATATTCGCTTTAATCTATCCCACTTATCTTTGATTTACTTTGTCTATTATCAGGTAAAACAAACTGCAATGATATACGACAGCATATGTTCAATAGTTGTAGTGTTTTCTACATTTCATACATATTTTATTATCAGTTTCGTTAGTAATGTAACTGTTGCACCTCTAAAAGTTTCACAGGGTAGCAATAAAAAGAAAATACAATTATTACTTAGATGTATTGTTGTAATATAAAGCAAATGAATGCTGATTTTGCTCTAATGCATGAAATATCGAATGTTGATCAATGACCTCTGTTTTTCTAATTGTAATATATCGGATAAACGGCAAATGCGAGACTATCTCGAATTAGTTGTCGATTGATCTTCATCGTACAATACATATTTTCGAGCTTTAACGTTTGAATTGAATATGATCATTGAAATAACTTATCTTGAAAAACATGCGAATGGAACCGGACCTCATAAGATATTATTAACACTAATTGATCGAAAATTTTGACACGACTCAGAATTACGCATACGTTATTGAACTGTACTTGAGCCACTCACCTATGATGAGGACTATTTGTCTGTAATTACTCTAACAAAGATTATACATGTATTTATTCATATTGGAATGATGACTATTATTGGCGATGATTTCCAATGACCACGCTGCTACAGAGACTTGATCAAATTCGAAAAAGTATCAGATTTTAATGCTGCTAACTTTTATGCATGAAATCGTATTTTTTAAGAAGAGCTAGAACTAAGCAACGATAATATACAGGGAAAAGGCAAAATGTTACAATCTTCTTCTTTATTTCGCCTTCTTTTATTATTATTATTATCTGTTCACAAGAAATAATCCCCCTTGTTTAAACATTAACACTCACTCAAATAGAATAGATACGAGAAGAAGAATGGAATGATTGTAAACGTGATAGAATGAAACTGAGAAAAGAAGAGAAAACATACTTATGGCAGGACAGATATCTCCTGACATAACACAAAAAGATAAGGATAACTATTTTCATTTGTACCTGTTGAGTGTGCAAGAGCTATCTACATGTATGAATCTTTTCATAAATGAAATTCTTACATTTGAATTTAGTTTAAAGAAATAAAAGACCTCAATCTGGATTATTATAAAGCATGGCTCTTCCGTTCATCTGATTGATCAGTAATCTCGATCTAAGATGAATAAAGCTTGTCAGCGCAGCCCCGTTGGGGCTAAAATGTGGAACTCACATATTTCGATCAATTAGATACTGATCAAATAGAAGTTTTATTTTTTCAGTGTAGTGAGATCATATTTTGTTCAAANCCCCCCCCCCCCCCCCCCCCCCCCACAGGGGAGCCGCAAAAACCTAACAATTCAACTTACCCTCACTATTTTCTTCGAAAATATATGTGAGTTCCACAAAATTACTTCAAGTTTATTCATATATTTGTGTGAGTTCTTTTTAGGTCGCATCATAGGCGGCTCAAAAGTTAAATCAGTCAGTTTCTATGTTTTTGTTTTTTTTCTTTGATAAAAAATCATTTGCAAGAGTATTCAAACCAGATTCAAAAATCAGTTCCAATATACAGTAGATAGAGTGAGAGTAAGTACAATTAATGATCATCAAAAACTACAACATCACCTAGAAGATAGTCACGAATAATGTATCACTAGTTTTACCTAATATAGTGTGTTTTAGTTTCTAATCGCAAGAACTATTAGCCTGGAAATATTGTTGAGCCTGTTAATTTTCTCTATCATGAACAATAGAACAAAATATGAAAATGAGTAGCTATTATGTTTCTTCAATTTTTGGACATAATACTAATTAATCGTCTCTCAGTCTCTTTGAAAACGACAGATGTCAAGTATGAGTGACAAACGTACAGTTGTGCAGCTAACACAAAATAAATTTTAACCGATTGTGTATCAGTGATTTCATAGGATCATTAAATAGGAATATAACAGGTATAAAAATGGTCATCACTGCATTTCTGAAAATGTTCAGACAAGGTAATTGCACTCTACATTGTTGCTGGTGCGTCGTCTATGCGTCGTCTATGCGTCGTATGTGATTGTTTGAGAACGTTGTAACGTTATCAGAGTGTTAGAGATGATACTCACGACTCGTTCTGTTTAGTATCTTTTTATCATTTCAGTTATATAATAGAATAGAAGACACATAGTTCGTTTTTTTAAATTTTTATTTGGCCTATGTCTTCAAACAAAGAACAAATATTTATAGTTGGTGTTAGTGGAGCTATTGGCAATGGTATTGTGCGCAATCTCGGAAAACAAAACATTGATACAACAGCGTATGTACGAGATGAATCTAAAGCAAAGACTTTATTTAAAGATGAAATTGATACTGGACATCTGAGAGTTGTTGTAGGCACTTATGTATCTGTTGATGTGTACACAAAGGCAATCGAAGGACATACTCGTATTTTTCTTCTTGTAGTTAGTGATTTTAAGAAGCCAACATTAATGAGTAAAATTAAAGAAACATTTGGTAAAATAGCTTATGAAAAGGTGTACGTCAAATAGTTGACCTCTCGTCATTTACTGTTCGTACAGCGGGAAAACAAGGTATTATTGGATATGTACATACAACAAGTGAAGAGAAACTATGGAAACTTGCTGATGAGCAACCAGATGAACGTTCGCTGGTTGTATTATGTCCAGGTGTGTTTATGAGCAATCAGCTTATGGCTGATCTTCAGTCAGTTAAACATCTCAATAGACTTGTTTCATCTGGATCTCCTCCATCGACATTTGCATGGATTGATACAACAGGTGAGTAATAAAGAAACGATCGATAATTCGACGATAGTTCTCTTTATTTTAATTATAAGGAGAAAATATTTTCTTGAAACAGAAGTATCAAATTAAAATTTAATGGTTTTCTCAAAACATATTTTTTCTTTCAAGAAAAAAGAAGGCTTTTGTTCTGTGAATTATTTTTCGCATTATGATGGAAAAAACATCACTTCTAGTATCTATCGCACATTTCATAGAAAAAAAGCGGTCAGCAATTGTAATAAATCTCTACATTTATTTTAGATATTTCGGATTGCTCCGTTGTTATTCTAACTGAACCTATCGAGAAGCATGATCGCTGTGTTTACGAAATGGGTGCTGAGCTTGTGACGCAAGAACAACGAGCAGCTATTTTTAGTAAAGTTCTTGGTAAATCTATCACATATGAACAACAGCAAGCAGAAACTCTTTATAAAATGTTCATCAGTTTTGGTATGTCTCACTCGTATGCTTATGATTTAGTTTCATTCCCTATCGAGCCTATCAACGGTCATGTGACACCACAAATGTCTATTCTCATTAATAGACCCTTGCGTACGCTCAAAGAATGGTTACAAGAAAATGCAGAAGCATTTCAATAAATGTGCCGACATCATGAAAATAGGCTCATATGTTTTTCTTTGTTTTTAGTTTTACATGAGATATTATCGATCTCAAGTCTTTTTCATAGAATATAAGAAGCTTTACTATTGATATTTGTGTAATCTTTTTCACAATTAATTATGATAATCAATCTCATACATTACATATGATTTGTTCTCTATTAACCTAGATGCTGCTTGGTTGTTTGTTAGATTTAGACTAAATTAAGTAAAGCTAATTAAAGGAAATAAACGACGCTAGTTCTTTGGGTGCATACAATGAATATACTCTAGCTTCTAACAATAATAATGATATATATTATCTACCTAATTCTAAACGGAAGTTACTTGTTCTTTATTTTTTCTTCTTTTACGTTCACTCGTTAGTGAGCAATAAGCTAATCTTGATATGAATGATATATATATATATTACGATAAGTTATTGCGAAAATATGATAAACTTTTTGACTTTGAATGAGTGCTGCTGAATCATTAAGGAATAGGAATTTCTACTTCGTTCTCCTACAGTTCCTTCAATGCTAATATTTAAAAAATGTGCAATATCTACGCCATTTTTTACGGCCAATCAACGAAGAAACACTAATGGAATAAATATAAGTAATTTGGTAGATTTCAAATCTTTAGAGAGATAGTTTTCCGAAAAAATTCTCTAATGAACAATATCATTGATACTCAAATTCTATTTAGACTAAAAATTGAGAAAAAGTTGAACTACGGATAACAATACAGATTACTTCTACTAATGCCATGTACACTAAATCGATTACTTTTCCATCATGAATCAACAGAAAAGTTTTAATGCGTCGCTAGTAAAAAAAACATTCGAAAATTCTATTCAAACATTACTTTAACCGTATTGAAAATGTCAAGTTAAAAATGGAATGAAGATATTTGAAATTTCTGATTTATTGAATTCAATACTACATGGCCACTATAACAAACTATCATTCAACAGAGATGCTAACTAAATATGAAGTTGCCGAAATTGAATATTTTTATTGATTTTCTAAAACTCACAGTTTCTTTTATGCAAAAATTTTGAATCGATGGGCAATCAATTGCTGTACCAATCTTTCTAGTTACATTATTTTTATTTTGTTAAAATACAGTTATTTATTGAACAGTATATTTTATAAGTTCATTATAAATCGTATTCTCATCATATTTAGCATATATAATTACTTCTTTTGAACCAACAATAATTTGTCTTTTTAGTATTGAATCTCGATAGCCTTCTGATTTCACCCATTTCGAATCAATAGTTAAATCAACTTGTTTTGCATTGGGTATTTCACAATGAATACAAACAACAGCACCACGTTTTAAAATTCCATCTAAAGGTTCGTGTATGCGACATTTTTTACTTAGAAATGTTGTATAGGTTACTGGAAATTTAATTGGATGTCGAAGTTGTGTGACATCGAGATGAAACTCAACGGCAATTCCTGATATGACTCCATCAGGAGTACTGCACTGTGCAAAAACCAATAGTTTATGTTTACCAGCTCGTTCTGGAGCGAAGAATAATTGCCAATGTTGTTTTTCATTATTAAATTGTGTCAATGCTCCATTTTCTATTCGATTACTATTTTGTTCTATGCAGCACATCAATCGCACGTCGTCCGGTGCTTTCATACAAATTTGAGCATAGGAACCATATTCAGGCCACATAACTGTAGCACTATTCCGTGGTGTTTCAACTTGAAGATCAAGATCATAAAAGAGTTGCCATGTTTTCGGATATGAAAGGGGTGGTTTTGGAATTCGTTTCGCCTTTATTTTGAAACGTGCAGCAACTGCAAAACTACCGGGATCTAACCGTCTTTTAGCCATAATATACGCTTCAAATAAACCATCACGATGAGGCGCAAACATGCACCGCCAGATGCCTTTTCGTCGATCGAAAAATGTGCAGTTTCCTCCAGGAATTTTAATACTACTATCTATAGTTAGTCGACTGGTGAGTTCAACATCACTTGGCGCTCGAATAATAATTTCCGTGTGAGTGTCGCCATGATTCATTTTAATTAAATGTGTATTGCACGGCCAAATAATTCCAAGGTTTAATTCGAAAAACGTTTTCCAAGTTTTCGGAAAACTAATTGGTTTCAATGGCATTTGTCTGATGTCAAGTTCTAATTCAGCCACATGACTATATGAACTATTACTTGTACTGTCGTCTTTTGCAAAGAAACTTATGATATGTACACCTATCGAAGATGGAGCAAAATAGCAACGATAGAGTCGTTTTTGGCTATCAAATACGATTTGATGTCCACCATCGATCTCGTTTTCGTTCAATGTGAAATTAGCTATAAGACTAATGCGGCGCGGAGCTTGTATCAGTACTATTGCATAGGGCTGGCGTGGAACTAGGTCAACATGTATAATGTCACTTGGATGGATCAGTTGAAGATTTAGTTGAAAGAATTTTGGCCAGAGTTTAGGCACCTGCATGTATTGCATCATTTTAATAGGCTGTTTAAGCAATTGCCACAGTTCATTCGTAGGAAAATGATGATAAATCATTTCGTTCGATCGGGGAAGAAAATAATACGAATTCAGTTCGCGTTTAAACACCAAATTGCTGTCCAAATAGCCAGCACTGCAAGTTAAATCAATAAGATACCAGTGTTGATTTATTTGAACAGCATTCCACGTATGATCGATCGGCACGGATGATCTGTTACTAGGATCAAAGACGTACGCTTTCGAATAGCCGTGCACTTTCTCGCACGATAAATCTAAAGCACTACATAAATGTTTAAATAAATTGGCATAACCATCAGCTACGGCCTTTCCTGTTCGAAACACTGCTTCTGCTGATTTATCAACATGTTTTTTGCCAACATATGGTACAGTATCGTACTCAATATTTCGTGCAATCCAGTAGAATACAATCCAAAGACGATCAATAGTCGGTTTATTTTTTGAAACATTTTTGATCTGATCGATAAGTTGCTCAATCGAAGTAGGACGCCAAGCTTCAATAATCAAACGATAACTACTGTTGTCGATAACATGTTGGCGCTTTACGTTAAAAGCTTCGTTGAATGCTTCCGGATGAACGACGTCTAGTTCATTATTGGTATCTTTCTTGTCATTGACAACGACTGCTGTATCAGATAAATAAATAGTCGATTCCTCAAATGAATTATTCGGAGAAATTTTACAGTCGAAATTTTGCAATTTTTTCGACGGGAAGTCCACAGTTTCGGTCATCGAATAGAGGTGCTGTAACGAAAGTTGCAATTCTGGAATTGGTTTAGGTTTAAAATATTCGTCTAAACTTATTTGTTCTCGAAGTCGTAGAATCTGCATTAAACTTAACGGAGCAGATGTGTGTTCATCATCAGAGCCGATATTATTTGAAGTTGGTCGTATAAAATGATTCAAACTTTTAGAATGTTCTTCATCAGAATCCGAGTGTTCTGAACTTGCTGGAATTGGAGTTGATGTGAAGAATCTTTCTTCTTCGTAGAAACCAGCTCTGTCAGGTGCTGCCAGTAGACGCCAATCATCATCAACTTTTTGATCACTTTCTGAATAACTTTCATCTGATACAGATTCGACTAGATTATTATCGTTGTTGACTTTAATGATTTTTTGTAGTGACGGTAAACGAACAGTTATAGTTTGGCTGTGTGTTTCTTCAATAACAGTCTTTTTTGGCACTGCTTGTCCAGAATGAGCAGATTCTTGTTGTTCATTTTCAGAATTCTTTTTTTTTTGTCGAATAGGTGGAAATTGAGACGAAGTAACTACTTTTGGAACTTCTACCTGATCATTTTCATTTAAAGCTTCTCGAAGATGGAGCTGAGAAGTAATTTTATTATTAATATCAGGATTGATCGAGTTCAGATGTTGTGAAGGATTTGTAGAATTTGACTGTGCATGTTTTTTATCAGTATCCAATTCTATTGGCATTGGTAACGGAACGGAAATTATCGATTGTTTATACTGCTCTTCTGAATTGTTCGTGTTGACCGGTTCTGGTTGAGAAATACCAGCTACGCGAACGTTCTTGCAACAGTTGGATCCCATAGTATTTTACTAAACACGATAAATGCCAATTTTATTTGAATATGTTCAATTGTTCTTCTGATTTTTGACTCATTGTAGGAGAAAGAATATTTACATAATACTCTTTTTCTTTACTTTCTCTTTTATTGTCACGTTACAAGCACATAATGGAACAAAGAACATGAAAAAAAGGAATTCAATTATATTCTTTCAATGAAAGCCGTTTTACTATCGTTGTATTCTTTAGTAAAAAATTCATTTTTCTATCGTTTAAAATTATAATTTACCTATATTACAGAAAAATCAATTCGCTTCCTTTTGAAATCAGTAGAATATAATTTATCAATATAAAAAATTGAACTGATACGTGAACATCAGCAGTACATGAAGTATAAATTGTTTGAAAGTGGATTACATGCTCTTTCGCTGTGAAGAGAACAATGGCGCCGATTGACAGTTAACAAAGAATAAGCAACGTTTATTAATGCAAAGCAAAGTCAACAAACAGGTGTACAACGACCGAACGTCTATAATTTCATGATAATATCGAGTCCTATTAGTATAAGAATGAACTGGCAATCGAATTAGCAGTATCTACGCAATATTTTAACAGCTAGGTATCAAAAACAAATCACAATATTTTATGAGATCCGATGGAATTCAGTATATGATTCATTCACCTGGGTTGTCAGCTTACTTATTAATAAGCTGAGCAGTTATTCTGATTTCGTACAAGGAAAGGAATTTCTGTTGCTGTACTATCATTATTCGTTTTCTTTGTTCGCATATGGCTATTCTTAAAAATGATATGGAACTCTATGTATCAATGGTTATCTGTTTGTCTTGGTCGTTCATTGAACAATATCGAAAATGCTGAAACAAGATTAAAATGTTTTTTTCTTGTTCCTTTTATTTCCCTGTTTTGAGGGTGTGTGTGAATAAAGATATAACGGATACTCAAAGATACCCTATTATCTTCTATATCATAATAAATACACAGAAACATAATTTCTCGCAAATCAGTAGAACAGAATTCTAAAATCTTTCTATGATTCTGTACAAGTTATGTTTTTTATTAATTGCAATAGTATGTTAAGAAATCGAATAAAAGAACATTAACATAATTCATCGAAATTCAGTTACTTTCCTTTTGATCCATTAAATTGTATTTTACTTCTGATAGGTTTCTTTTAATAAGTTGCGAACTATTTTTCTTCTGATTGATGCAATACAAAATACCATGAGAAAATATTTAGCAGAAATCTTAACAGTTTCTATGCTACTGAAATTCATCAAATCTGAATATAGGACTTGGTCAGAATCGATTGGAGAGTTTATTAACATTCGACTGCTGCAGAATTATGTATTTTACAAATAATAAAATAATAAAATGATTTACTAGTTTGCTTGAAATTGTTTCAGAATCGATGTTATAAATCGATAATAATTTCTTTTTTAGAATTAATTATGTTTAATTTGAACTGAAAAGAATTATTATTCACCGAAATTTCATTTCTCTAACTTTGCAATAGCAATACAAAGTACTTAAGACGAGTCAAGATCAAGATCCATTTAATATTATCAGGATGTGTTACCCCTAATAGGTACGATCCATTATTCTAGATAATATATTGACAGAGTATATGTGAATTAGCGAAAAAAATCAATTTTTGTGAGTTTTTTTGGATGCAGGTTTCAATGATCGTTTTATTAAAATTTGCTGCCACTCGCACGTTGGCTACTGGTGTATTTTTCTGTGGCTCCTCCAACACGATTTGCTCCATTGGTTACCGATGATGTTGCTGAGGTTGGTGATGATATAGATGTAACAGTACTACTTGCTAAAATAGGAGGATATTGAATATATTTATTGTGGCTGAATGCAGATACTTACTTGTTGTTGTTGGAGTTGTTTTGTTCTTTTTTTGTAATTCTTGTTGTCTTCGGTCGTTTATTTTGTCTATCATTCCTACTTGATAGTCTATTTCTCGTTGTATTTGACGTGTTTGTCTCATCTTTGCATGGCGTCGATGGCGATCATTTTCAAATTCTTCTTCATCTTGACATGAATTTGTTAATAAATGCGATGTTTGTTCACGTTTATATTCGAAGTCCTTTAGTTATCAAGATAATACCATTGGAATTTATGGTAAAAAATATACTAAGGAAAGCTTACTTTTGCGCGTAAAAATGCTTCTTTTTCTAACCGTGATATTTTTTTTGAAGTTACTGACATATTGTCTATTTATGTATGATGTGAATCTTGTGCTTGTCGGCGTCGTCTATGTCGTCTAAGATAGCATAATGCATCATGAAAAAGATGAAGGCTTTTTTCCTTCGTTCTGGACGTGTACAACTATGGCTAGTATACTTCTGCGAACTTCAGCATATCAGGAAAAAACATCTACCATGAGGAAGAAAAAAAGTATCGTCGTTACTCGTTTCTCTTTTATGCCCAATCATATAGAATTGCGAATAACACAGAATACTACTATGCGACAAAAATCATGAAAAAGGACAAGATCTTGATAATACATTTCCCTACACTCAGTCATGCAGAGAAATATTGTAAGCTCTAATAATTGTGACTGGTCGATGCATTCTTTTTTTTAATGTTGATAAATTAAGACTTACAAGAGATTAGCTTTGAGAATTTCTTTTTACTATTATGATGATACAAATCTTGAAAACTTCTCTTCATCTGTAAATATTTGAAAAGAAATCATTTACGAAAGTAAATTTCTATATTATTTGACCAATCACTTGAGAAACAGAAACAATCATTTAAGAGACAGACACGGAAAAGCACATGCATATCTAAAGTATTTTTACTTACTTAATCAAGTTTATTTTTGTTTATATTGAATATGATTTGAATCATCGCTAAAAACTGCCATATGATAAACAAACTTACATCATATGTATACCTGAAAGTATATTCAGAATCAAACGAGGCCATTTTTAAATGGTGTCACACTCGAAGAGAGTCCACCAATACTTTGGTTACGAGTCGATATTGTAGAAGCGGTACAATAAAAAACGATTTGAAACACAAATCAGTAACAAAATTAACTAACTAATGATGTATCTTCAATTTTCACCTAAGAAAAATGTTAAACAACTCTTTCAGATGACGCTAAAAGAGAAAGGACATAATTACAACTTAACACTCTTCATTTTCTATCAGAAAGCATTGCGTACAATAGGAAAAATCAAATTTTGGATATTTTCGAAAGTAATAGTAAGTCAATATAAGATTAATGGTCCGAATGTACTATATGCTGTGAAATAATAATTGACAAGTTTCATATCTCATTACTCTAATAGATGAAGTGTCGTGAGAAGAAAACTTCTATTCACTATTGTAAATGACAAGTTAATATTCACCTATCTTCAGACAAAAGAGAATACAGAATTTAGTTTATGTTGTCTATAATTTTATTAATCTAAAGTGTATATCGTTCTGATCAATAAAAACAATATTTTAGTCGACCTATAATCCTTGTGTATGGCACGATAAATTTAAATTTAACAAAAGCTATACGTCTCATATTTCTCTACAATCATTTTGTTTCGTTTCTTCTTCAACGACAATGCGGTACTGATAAAAAAACTGGTTTGGATTAATTATCAAAGAGAAAAAGAAATCGGACACAAAAAAAAGAAGCAATCTTGCTCATAAAAAGACATATCATTGTTTTCAAGGGCTATCGGATAGAACTAGTTTTATTTTGTAAATTTCGGTTTTCACTTCAATTCTTCATCATTCAATTTGATAGTCAATCAAGTTAATTAAAACAACAATCATTATAAGGTACAACATTTTTTCTTCAACACAGAAAGTACTTCTGGAAGTTGTTTACCCATGAAATGACCACGACGTTCTAATTCCATGTATTCCGATTTTAATTTGTCGGCAACAAAACGGCCTTCTGCTACTGGAATAAGTTTATCAGTTGGTGAATGAAGTTGAACAATCCAATGTGTATTGGTTCGAATAGTATTCCAATCCCTTGAAAATATTTCAATTATTTTTTATCACCTTCATAAAATAATGAGCAACATACCATGGTCGATTGTAGTATCCGCTTTTTCGTTCATCTTCATTATTTAGATCAGTATGACATGCTGCCACAAGTATTACTCCACGTACTTTTTCTTTTTCAAGTAATCGCATGATAGCTTCACAACCAGAGCTATGTCCAACTAAGATAGTTTTCTCGTCTACTTTTAGGGTATTCCGAATAAATGGTAGCCAATGTGACTCGCGAGCAGCATAAGGATCAGGCATATCTTCAAGAATAACAGAAAATTGACCAGTTGAATCCTTTTCAAGTTTTTGTTGAAGCCAAGAGTACCAATTGCACTCTTGTACAGGTACACAGCCCATGCCTGGCACAATAACAATACGTTGTCGCTCTATTTCGAGGTTACTGTTTTCTGACATCTAAAGAAAATAGTCTATAAATCATGGTCTATTTTTCAATTATCAAAATTACATCTTTTTTCCTACTACACAAATGCGATTGAATGTTTATCAGTAATAATTTATCACATTTTTGTTTTCTTTGTCGTACTTAAAGCATTCTATTGGCTAATCATTTGTTTTTCTTTATTACAACAATATCGCTACATAGTTACAAAAATATTAACCTGACGTAAAATAACTTTGTGGTCATGGTATGACTAATATGCAAATACTATACAATGAAAGATTGTCTATCAGTCTTCAATGATGCCGAGGCTAATATGGAAGATATTTACTCATAGGTGTAACTATTTGTTCGAAAATGAAAGTAAAAACATCGTACTGTAATCATCGTTATAATTTTAACAAATTTCAGTTAAAAAATGAAGAATTTAATTTAAAATAAATCTCATACAAGAAAAAAAATTATTTTTTCAAAGTTTTTATTCTAAGACTGATTTTTTTAAAATTCAATAGATTTCATTAGAATAAATTAAAAGTAAACAATATTTGAATTCATGCTCTAACCACTCACTTTTTGTAAACAGAAACAAACAGTTAAACATCTATAAATAGTTCTACTTTTCTGAATCTATTCTTGTATACTCTTTCATTCGAATAAATCATATTCTAAATCAAGAATTGAATCCCCAAAAAAGGATATTATAAGTGTTTTCTTTTTCTTATCTTTCTGATTTTTTGAAATTTCATTTACACTCGCAGCGAAACAAAAAAGAACATGAAAATGAAGAAAAAAACCACTCATCAACTTCATAGAACCAACTATTATAAAGCAACAATATGGTGAAAAGAAAAACGTTGAAAAAAAACAGAAATAAAATAAGAAAAGGAAAACTAAAGAAATACAAGACAACGAAGAATAATAAATAAATAGTGAAACTTCCGACTGTTGTGAAACTGATAGCACTGATACAGAGATGAATGACAAAAAAAAGAAGACTAAAATAATGATTATTATCGAATTTTGTTAAATAAATTAAGTACACTGTCGGATTCTTTATTGGCACGACATTTTGTAAATACATTCCAGAAACGAAGTGTTTCATCTCCTGCGCCTGTCACTATTGATTCTCCATCTGGTGATACAGCTAAATATAATACACGAAATGTATGTCCAGTTAAACGAGCTAATTGTAACATTGATGGATATTTCCAAACAACGATTTGATGTTGAGAATAACCATGCTAAAATGTGCATGTTTGAAGAAATACAAGAACTAGACAAATATTGTTTTTCTTTACCGTAGATACAAGTTCATTCGTATGTTTTGACCAGGCTAAATTGCAGACCTAGATAAATATGATATAAATTAAAAGAAAAGTTTCAATTAACAATTTTACTTGAGATCCCGTATCAATAGATTGTAAATTTTGTGCTGTTAATGTATTCCAAAATCGAATGTGGCGATCAGCAGTTCCTCCCCCACTAGCTAAAAGGCCTTGTTGGTGTGGACTCCATGCAATAGCTTTGACAGCTGCTGTATGATCTGTATAAACTTGAATTGGATTTGAACATGATTGATTCCATACTAATAAACGATTATCATTTCCTCCACTTGCTAGCAATTGTCTATCGGGCGACCATTTTAATCCACATACTTCTTGTCTGTGCCCAGCTAGTTTCCGCTCTTGCTTATTTGAGCGTGTGTCATTTTGTAAAATGAATCGATCACGTGAGCCTGAATATATGCATAAATCATTCCAAGCTAATGCGCCAACACGTGCTGTATGACGTGGAAATGAAACGGTTTTACGATTTGTTGCTACGTCCCAAATCTGTACAATTCCTAAATTTAAAAAAAAGAAAGCTTTTCATACGAGTAACCTGCTATCATTTTATTACCTTTATGAGTACCAACAGCAACATATTGTCCTCGATCACTCCAAGCTACACTTGTTACTGTATCTGATTCAGTTTGTAAATCACATAATCGTGTTACATTACTTGTATTAGCATTCCACAAATAAACAGATGCATTTAGTCCAACAGCTAAAATATTTGTTGATGACCAATCAACTAGATTTAAATAAAAATCATCTTGAAGCTCTGGAGCATCAAGAACTTTAAATGGAGTTTTAGGAATTTTCCGTAGTTGTTTACGTGGTGAACGTAAAAGACGAATTGATGCAGGTGATAACGGAGACAGAGAATAAGGTGAATAATGTAAATCATCTCTATTACGACGAGCACAATAACGAAATATTGTATTTGGATCGCGTGTTCGTAATAGATTTGAATTTGAATTTGTATATGGTAAATGTTGTTGACAAGATTGAGATAGAAAACCAGGTGATGGTGTAAGAATGCCCTAAAATATATTTTATGTATAATTTTTGTACGATAGAAAACAAAACATCTATATTTACATTTATGGCTGAAATAGCTGTTGTATGGATTTGACTACCTAAACCTTGACCGACTACTGTTGTTGTTGTTGTTGTTGTTGTACCTACATTATTGTTAGTATCATTGTTGCCAGTTTGATTTGTAGTACCTGTCGTATTATGATGATTACTGTTCCCGTTAGAATAGGCGTTTTGCAAATGCTGTTCATCATAGAGACAATCTATATGTGTACCAAACATTTCATTTTGTAATAAAGCTTGATATGTTAGCATGTCTTTTGCTCGATCAGCAGCGATTGTTGTTCCAGTCGTAGTAGAAGAATTCGTTCCGGTATTTGTATTCGATGATGATTCACGAGATGCCTTTTTATCTGACATTGGGCCTTTATGAATTTGTTCTTGGTCAATATAAAATGCCGATGGTTGAGATAAACTTCGAAGTGGAATGAAACGATCACTGTGTTTGATCGGCGATGGAGAAGATATCGGCGATGAAAATGGTGACGAAGAGACTGATGAGCAACCTGACATTGATCGAATTAAACGGCGTTCGAAATCAGACTCCATGATGATCAATATTACAAGCAGTGTTTCCAATGAAAATCTAAAACAAAATGTACAGTACACTCAGTAGCTTGTGAGCAGTGTATATTTCACTTTATTTTTTCCGCAGTGTACAAAAACCAAATTTTCACAATCTATAAGATAAAATATAATTTATTTAATACTATATGCAACTTTTAAGGTTCAGAGATCAAAGATATCAAAGTGTAAACTGTTTTGGCAAAGTGCACAACAGAGTGTAAATCAAAATTATCAGATCTTCTGTACATTTTGCTTCTGCTTTATACACTTGCCATTGGAAACACTGATTACAAGTAGAACACCAGAATACGTTAATTAGAAAATGTAATTTTCATTTTTACAAACAATGAAAAAGACAAAGACCCTGGCCGTCAATGGCTCTACGTGAGTGTCCAATAGCAAAATCCTATGAAAATAATATTTATTCAATGCGAATGTGATTAGCGTTTAGATTATTTGTTTTAATCAACAATAAGTATTTATTTCAATTTTTACACTCATTTATCATTTTATATACCTTTATTTATTTTTACAAGTTTCTTATCTATTGCGTTTCTTATAGTTGAACCGAAGTACTCTATTGAGTAGATGGCGCTAATGTTGTATATTGTTACAAATAAATGTTACTGCTACTTTACGTTTAGATTAGAATAATCTAATATATTATTTATTTTCATTTTCACCGTTTTAATCAGTATCCGTAACATTCATGCACATACTTTGGATATATACGCTTTACTATCACATCTTCATACCGATACTGCCCAGGTCGACTGATCCGACATCGGATCCGATAGGAACCTAGAAATATCCTACAATCCGATACAATTCTATTGGATTCCGGGTCGAGGAATCGATGTCGGATGCTCAGTGTCGGGATCCTATGAACTTCCGATGGCATACAACGGTTTTCCCTTGGAATTCATAGGAATCCGACACTGAGGATCCGGCATCGATTCCCCGACCCGGAATCCAACGATAATTCTGTAAGATCTGACAGGATCCGATAAAATCCTATTGGATTCCAGTCGGATCGGATGGGTTCCGATAGGTGCCTACTGTCGGATTGCTCGACCTGGGTGATTGTAGTATCCAGTGTATCAATATTTTGTGAGTATCTAACTCAAACCTATGGATAAGCATAAACAAAATATCAATGGTCTCGTAAGCCTCAAATTTGTAATATTGCTAGTAATCGAAAAATAATTCAGTTCTCTTTTTTTTTGTATTGATATCGAGTAAACTTGAAATAATTTTTGAAATCTTGCGGGTTTAGATTTCGTAGTTCAGTATTGATGCATATTTTATGTAGAAAGCACTTAGATAGAATGGGATCAATTTTCTCTCAACTGTTTACACTATTACTTCGAGCTCTAAATTCTAAAATGTAAAAATAAATCATTTTAAAAATCCATACGACCTTTTTAACCAGGGGTGTAAATAGGGGGGGGGGGCGGTGTCGGCATGGTACCCTTGCTTTGGAAATTTTCTTTCAAAACTCGTAAAAATAGAACAAAAATTGATATTGTGTCCCCCACCCCTGCCTCTCCCCTGTGATGTTTCGCTAATTCGGCAATGCTAGTATCATATAATTGTTAGAATTAAAAATGAATAATGATTCTTTTAATAGTTGATATTTTAGATAGAATCAAGTGACGCATTAGACATCTTTTAAGTTTTTGTAATTTTACACACACAGAGAAAACAAAATGTATCAACTGACGAGACGCATCAAGCATAATTAATTCAATTTAAACTTCCAAATACTACAAAAAAAGGATTATGATAAATAAGAGAGAGAGAGAGAGAGCATAACGAGAAACTCGCATTAAATCAGAACCAAGACACGTAACGACACAGTGCTGTCGCACACTCCCCCTTGTTTTGAGAGCCAAGTTACGCACCTGTTTTGAACAGAATTTTACATCTGTCATTCAGATTCGATAATTTATCTTGTTGACATTTTGAATCAAAATCATTCAAATGAATTGATTCTACTAAATAAAGTGTCTAAAATGAGTATCTTATCTTCATGCCAATGGTCATAGATCATGAAAAATGAATATTTCGATAAATCTATTTGTTTGAAATCATTTTTCATGCATGAGCACTTCTAAAATATTGATATGTTGAATAAACTTTATATTCGATGCCTTTTTTTGTAAATATGGAGCATGTTGTCTTGAATTTGAATTCTTTTAGATGTACTGATTTGTTCAATTTCTAATTTGATATGCATCAATTTCTTGTACCACTAGATGGCGTTCCCAATGAGTCTTGTTCCATTATAGGCAACCTTAATGCTTGTTTTTGATTCTAAAGGCGAATCACTTGCATCTTCATCACTATACGAGCACAAATGACAAAGAGAAAGCTCTTATCATATTTATTCGACATTTCTTTTGTGGCAGTTGCAAGCAATACGTTAGCAGTTTTCCAGAAGACAATGGTTTGTCTCCTACTGAACTTGCTGCTTCACTTACAAATCTTATTATTATTATTGTTCAGGTGGTTCATTCTTACAATCCGATCTTAAAACGGATTGCATCGAATCTTACATGAAAACCGACAAGAACCAACAGATTCCGTCGGATTCTGGGCTTCGGATCTGTAGGATCGGAATCCGATACTATCCGATCCTATCCTACTCTGGGATCCGATGCGCCAAAAAAACCTGCTATATTCAACCTCTAAAAAGCGTTTTTGCGCTAACCCAGGTGAATCAATCCGATACCGAATCCCATCGGATTCTATGGGGTTCTACCATCCGAGGAAATTCCGTTGGATTCCTGGTTGAGGAATCAATGTCGGATCCGACAGTCGTATTTCCAATCATATCCGATTGTCGGAACCAATGAAGTCCGAAGCATTCCGGTTCCGATTGACGGTTGATGTCGGATTTTATCAGTTTCCGATACTAGGATCCGATATCGATTCCGGAACCAGGAATCCGACGATAATCCGATAGTTTCCTTGCGCCTTCCGAAGAGCTCCGTCGGATTCCAATAGGAACCTATCGGAACTCATCGGATCCTAGGCTAGGATTCATTCTCCTGGGAAATAGAATTTTGATATTTTTTAAAATTCTCCCGTCGGATTCGTCAATAATTCCGAAACCCAGAATTCAATTGTATTTCGTCGATTAGTAGAATGTTAAAGGATCCGATAGAATTCGTCGTCGGATTAGTCGACCTAGGTGGTTGTGGTCATTCCGATCTCATTGAGCAGTACGTAAAACATACGAAATGTCCTTTTCCAGTATATACTGATCCCACGCAAAAGATTCATGAAGCTTTTGAGCTGCATCGAACGTTAAGTTTCGGGAAGAACAAGCCAAATTACATCAAATCATCATTTTTTTCCAATGTGGCCAAATCAGCTATATCTCAAATGGCCGCTGGATCAGATATGTTCAAAGGTGGTGATATTCAACAAGTGGGCGGTGAATATCTGATCAACAAAATGATTCATATTTATGGCCACACAAAATGGAAGATACAAGAGATCATGTGGAAATTGTCGAATTACGTAAGATATTGTCAATGAACTGAGAAAAATATCTTTAAAAAAAAAACGATTTATTCTATTAATATAATCACTCCTCTTAAATAGTATCTTATAATGGTAAGCGATGTCTTTGTTAGAAAAAAAAGCTAACCGATTATCAAGGAATTATTGCAAGAATTTGTCTGCATGACACTATAAACTTAAATGTTTTTTTATTTTCGCTGTCTACGCGAGTCTATGTAATTTCGCCAATTGTGAAGTTCGCCAATTGTATATTTGTCGTTGGCGAACTTCCTCACGAAATTCTCCAATAAATAATATATTTTCACATTCTTGTGTTCACCAATTGGCGAATTACTAGTGGGACATTCGCCAATTGTAATCATTGAATGTACGAACTAAGCTCAGTTTGCTGAAATTATTTTTATTTCAAATAAAGAAAGAAATGTGATAGTTATATGAAAAAGCTTGTTCGCACAGTGCCTTCGGGGCAATTATGGAACTCGCACAGATCCCTTAGACCTACTAAAGTAATGCAAAATACCTAGTGAAAAGTCGATCTTAATTTCAAAACTCCATATTAGGGCATTACCTATTTACTTACACCAGTAATGGAGGGTTACTTGTTACTTCGTATCTCGAACGATGACCAAGATTACTTCTGCAATAGTACCCATGCCTGGCTGCTATGGTCTGACATGGTAGCTCTTCTGTATTGCTAATATCTGTAATGGGCAGGCCTTGCTTTTTTCATATAATATGCAATAAAATAGAATAAATAACAAACTAATTAGTCTATAACTCAAGGGGTGTGTGTGTGTGTGACGGCACCGTGTGTCGTCATATGTCTTGTTTCTGATTTCGCGCGAGTTTCTCGCTATATGTTCTTTTTCTCTCTTTCGTCTTCATCGCTTTTTCTTTGTCGCATTTTGAAATTGAATTATGTTATGTTTGGCGCGTCTAGTTAGTTGATACATTTTGTTCTCTCTATGAGAGTGTGAAAATTATTACAAGAGCTTAAAGATATATATAATACATTATTTGATTCTATCTAAAATATCAACTATTAAAAGAATCATTATTCGTTTTAATCTTAATAATTATATGAAACTAACATTGCCGAATTAACTAAACATCGCAGGGGGGAAGTGACTCCTGGTGGATGCTATAATCCACCAAGATTCATAGAATCTGCTAGGATCCATAAAATCCACCACACTGTCATTTTTTTTAAATTCTATTTTGTAGAAAATCGACTTTAAATTATCTATAGCATTTTCAAACGTTTATGATTCCTGCATCAAATTTCTATTATTTAGAAAATGCTTGATTCTCCAAATAATAGAAATTCAATTTAATTTACTGCATAAAACCCAAACTAGAAAATCAATATTTTATTTTCAAGAAAGTAGAAATTCATCACTGAATTCATATAGGCATTCCTTGAATATCCTTCTACTTTCTCTATAATTTATTTTCTAACTAACAGTGCAAGATCTATGAGCAGCCGTCAGAATCCAAGGATCCAGGAGTAGTGTTTCCCCATTGGTCTAACTTCTAATTAAAACAATTTCAAACTCATTAATGTTTGTAATCAGGAGCAGGTAGCCTAAAAAGTCGCGCTTCTAGACTAATTTAGTTTGTGCACTAAGAATATCAAGTACTATACTTGAGTTCCGATTCAATTCATTCATATTGGCGAAATTGCTAGTGTGACTTTCGCCAATTTGGCGAATTACTAGTGTGACATTTGCCAATAAATAAAATATTTTCGCATTCCTTGGTTCACCCATTGGCGAATTGCGTGAGGAATTTCTCCAATTGGCGAAGACTATAATTGGCGAAACGATGAATTGGCGATAATATATTACCCCGTCTACGCACGTTCCAGACCCTTTCCCTCTTAGAAGACGTCAGTATTTCAAATATAATTGTTGGCAGATTTGCACCAGCTGTCGATGCTATTGCACAAATAACGTATTGAATTTAAAAAAAAAGAAAAATGGTTGACACGATTTACAAGAGCCGAATTTGCTCACTAATTGAAACACTGTTGTCTAAGTTGATTCATACCCTAGTGAAACGCTTTTGGCATGCGCATGAAAAACATGAACATCTTGAGCTCACGTATTGGCAAGCGCTTGAATAAAAACGTTCGACTAGGGTAGCTTCATTGATATTGAGGCAAGTTAAATTATTATAAAAAATAATCAAATAACAAGCTTTTTAAGTAGAGACTCTAGTTAGTGTTACTACCAATACTCTCCCTAGTCGAACTTTTTTTTCTGCACTGGACATGCGCGGACCTCAAGTTTGGTTCATAGCGCATGATTTTCTTGATCAAGATTTTCAAGTATCTCCTGCGCAGACTGTGCCGATATTGATGGCACGCTTTGATGATTCTCCTTCCTTCTCTTTCTACTCTCTTTCCATTGTTCTAATGTACCTCCTGTCTCTCTTCCATCCCTCTCCTAAATATACCCAGGACAATGATTCCTGACGCAGTATTCCGTGAATTTCTGGCGAAAACCTGCAAGAAACTCGCTGTTTCCGACCGGAACCCACCGGAAATTGTCCGGAATTCGATGCAGGAATCCGGAAACCGTATCCGGCTACCAGTTTTGACAGGTTCCTGTCGATTCCGGCCAGAACCGAATAAATCCGGTCACCGGATCATTTCACCGGAATACTGCTTCCATGAAGTCTCCNGCGCTGAGACCTGACTTACGCCCCTGGTTACACAGACCAAAAGAGTTCGTCTAGGGTTTGAGTAAAAATCATACGGAACAATCATTTGAAAAACAAATGTTATAATATAATATATATGATAACTCAATGAATTTATAGGTGGCGCCATACAACAGCATACCTTTCGTTAATCGGATAAAAGAAATAGTGTCCGTTAAAATATTTTTTGAACAAACAACTTTCAGAAAATATTTGTTTGAAAAATATTCGAGAATGTTTCGAAAATGAATTTAATGGGTAGATTATGTACCAGTATAATGTGTTGCTAGTGACAAGTTGCAAGAAAATCAACAACAACAATATTATTGCGATTGGCAAATAGGATTAGGTATTTTAATCCTTTTTCTCCAATTCTTCTATACCTTTTGCTAGAAAAACCCGTTGTGTGAGAAACAGAATAAAAGCAATAGCACTGATTTATTGTCGTTGATTGTTATATGCAGTAACTGAGTTTGTTTATTCCATTTTTTTCTTCGCCATTGAATCGTGATTATCAACCTGAGACATGAAATCCGGTTAATAATCATGATGATGAAGTCATATGATGATTGGTCATACAATTAAGAATCTGTCGTCATGTAGTTTTCTTTCTAGATGATTAAACCTGTTCATGTCATCGCCAACATCTACAGCGTCACTTCTTCTTTGTGTCTTAGTCAAATCTGCAAAAATACAAGCTTTAGACAGTCAGTTTATTATTCTTTCTCATTAATATACATTTAACGAATTAATTCTTTTACAAATAGACGAATGCTATTCTTATGTTATACTAAAAATTGATAATGTCAAATCAACCACAAGTGTTGTGAAAGGTCAACAACCGAAGTGGGAACAAGAATTTTATTTGTAAGTGAAATTATTAAATTAAATCTTTGCGTAGTTTTGAAACAAAAGAATAGGAACAGGTTCTCATATTAGATCTCGTACAAGATATTTTATGATAGAATCAACTCAGAGCTGTAGATAGAGATTAATTTTATTTTTTAAAGTAAAATAATGATAAATAAATAATTTAGTGTCCAATAATTGATTCCAGTGATTCTTTTGCCGATCGTGCGAAATTACATAAATACTGAACAAGATTACTTTCATTGAATAATGAAGTCATTCGTGACATTATTATTTTCATTTAATCTTAAGTACGAAAACATCTATTTTCTTTTCATGTAATTTTGATGAAAGACATTTGACTAACTCTATTCTGTATTCTGTTATTTTTTCTGAGAATAAATGAAACGGAGAAAACAATATTGGCAAGATGTGCTTTGTCTCAAAATTTGACGAGAAAATACATGTGTTTGTTTTGTTTAAAGTAAAGTGTATGAGACAGTTTCGACTTACTTTAGTGAAACGAATAAAATATTTCACTTTAGAATCAGAAAAACTTATATGGAAATCTGTTTATTGCATTATACAAAATACAAAACAAGTATATTTTATTGATTTCTGTTTTCTGAACTACCAAAAAACAAAGACTGATCTTCTATTTTTATCGTCGTAAGCAGTTTTTAATGAGAAAATAATGAACCACATAGTTTTCACTGCTTTAACGTCGATCTGATTTAGCAATGATAAGTCAATAAAAAAAGCCTTCATTCATTTTTCATTGATTATGTATGGCAAAAAAACCTTTTTTTTTGTAAAAACTGAAACATATTGTACTATCAAAAATAATCCATTGATCAATTTTTTCAGATAATAATTAAAAACTTTTTGTAAAGTTTTTTTCATTCAAAAATGATTAATTAGAAAACCATGTGTATTTATTACTTTTCAAGTATTTGATTCATAGAAACACAAACTGATCAATGCTCTGTCTAAAGTAGATGAATTGAGAAGTTCTACGGTTTTTTTTCAAGTATTCAATTAAACACAAATCAAATCACGAAACTAATTTGTCCGTTAATGTTTTTCAGCTCTTTACTTTAAGCAATCATGTTAGTTCCTAATACCAACTTTGCATGGTATAATAATTTTACAATTAGAATATTCATCGTCTCAAAGAGGATCCTCTACAAATTTCTAAAAACTCGATTTATTATTTATGTGTATCAAAAAAAGTAGTTAAAAAATACATAAATTGATAAGTAGTCCTTTGAATTTTTTTTAAATAATGAACTTCACTAACTGACGAATAATTAGATATTTCCCAAAATACCAAGATTTTTCAAGATCGGCAAATTTTTTGTGGTAACTATGTCGTCTTCTCGAACAATTTTACGGTTTGAATATCATGTGTTTCGAAAAGAAGTTTTTCTATATATTGTCATATTGACAGGTCTAAATTCCGTAATTTACATTAAAAAGTTCGAACATGAGTTTCAATGTAATTTTAAATTAAATAATATTTTCTGTCCTAATTATTTTCAGCTTAAACTTTCTTGTCAAGTTTGTTTTGACAGTATAAATCAAATAAACACACAAAAAGTACTTGTGTACTATTCGGTAGTGTTCGTATGTAGTATGAATTTTTCAGTTCAATTTTAAGTATTAACCTTTTATAAGTTGTAAGATCCTTCGAAATTTCCGTTACATATTTCCCTGGTAAACATATTTCTTTTACATGATTACAACAATTAATTTTTAGCGTTGAACTATTTATACGAGCTAAGAATCGTTTAGAAAAAGTATGAACACAATCCGCTCGAAATTTACATGTAACTGATTTTGCTTAAAACTAGGAGCTATCCAATTCGTGACAAATTTCTTCTTATCAGTCGTCGTCCATGAGAATGAGGAAGGACCTGTCTATTTCCACCCTAAAATCTTAACATATCTTTTGGAATCTATTTGGCAATTAGTTCGACATCGACATCCATAGATATAAATGTCACTAATAGACATTGTTTCTACTTCGGTGCTCTGTTTTTGTAAGAGACAACGTAAATTATCGCTTCAAATGGAAACATACAGATACAATTTATGATTCCTTATGAATTTTTCTTGCTCTGAAATATCTCAATACGGTTGAAAATCGAAGTGTTCAAATATATTTACTATATTAAACTTCAATATCTAACTATTTTTCAGAACAAGATGTTTTGAAAAATACAATATAGTAAAAAAATATTTTTGTCGTTTTTGGCAAAGATCCATATTTTTGTGGTAAAAACAGTCATAATGCCTGACCTGTTAGTCACGAGAGTCTTTATTGCTCAATGGTCGATAGATGAATACTTTCTTTCTTTAATGTTTATCGTTTGTCTTTACATTAACGTGATAGTAAATGTAAAATAACAATATGAAAAACAAAAATAATCATTTAAACCAATATTATATTTAATTAAAGTGAAAATATTCTGAATGATAAGGAAAAAAAGATTCTTATTGACGGGATTTTCCTCCTAATAACAGTGTGTCGAATAGTCCTTGAAAAGGACCACCTCCTTTCAACATTTCCGGAAATAAAGTGAAGATGAATTTCCTTTATTTTACGCTCGATCTGAGTACAGCCTGAGATAAGAATATTGTTATTTTTTTTCAAAAAAAAGCAAGCAAATAAAGGCCATGCAAGTATATTTAAACATAAACTCGTTTAAGCTATTTCTTTTCCATTAAAAAAGCTATAAAAAATAAAATAAATTTTTATTTTTTAACGCATTATAAAATAGAAAATTATTTATATTGTATTAAACTTGAATAGTATAATAAAACAAAAAGATTTGAACTTCGAATAAAGCAGTTCTAGTGACATTCGCTAAAAATCTGTTTTGACTATAATTGTAGTTTAGAGTTCTAGAGAGTGCACATTGATAACTAATAATCTCTTCAGACTTACTGTTTTAGTTTGTAAGCCTTGTAAATGATTACTGGTATGTTTTTGTATGAAATGAATAGTTTACTATGTTATTTTTTATTCTATTTATAAAAACAAAAAGAAAATAATTTCTCGACTTCTTGTCAACGTTTAGGTTTTCTTTCTTTCCTCTTCATCGCCAAGAATCAATGATTATTTTGTTTTGGAAAAATTTGAAAGTTATACCGATTTCTTCCGTTTACTGTATGAATAAGTTGCTTTTTTTGCTAAAACTAAAACTATTTTTCTCTACTAGCATAAATGTTAAATGAAAAATCTTATTTGATTTTTTTTGCCTTTTGAAGTGACGTACCTGATCGCTCGACTGGCCTTCAAATTGAATTATGGGAACGCGGTCCATTTAGAGATAAATTGCTGGGATTATGTCATATTAGTTTGAATCGTAATGATAATCTAGATATAATAAATATAAAATCGAATGCAAATATAATTAATGGCAATGAACGATGGATTAACCTTGATTCAGAATCGATTTTAAATCGACAAGGACAAGTTACTCGAACATGTAATCCAACAAAACATTCTCTATTAATTCATACTTATGTTGAATTACCATCTGATTTAACTGAAGAAGAATCAAAAGAATTAACTGAAAAACTTGAAATTCTTCGTGAAATTCTGGATAAAGAGGTGAATATTTTTAAAAAAATCTGTTTTTCAATATTTTTATTGCTTCTTTCATCAATCTTGTTGATCTGGTCTTTCAAATGACTTATTGATTTTTCTGTGTTAAATAATCTCCATATTGAAGATTAATTATTAAACTTTTGTTACCATCATTAAGCGCATATAATATAGATGATGACAACCAAAAAGAACATATAATCCTTAAGATAATCATCGTTTTTCGCTTCCATTTAATAGAGAATGAAAAGGCGAGAAGAATCAAAAAGAAAAAGAAAAGTACTAGATGAAAATGACAAAGAATGAAAAAAAAACTAATCACGTTATGCTCATGCACATTATTCGATTGTATGACTGAAGTGATGTCTGTGAAAGTGACATTATATTGATTATCGTGACGTGCTCAAACGAGTCAAATGTTCCTGTGTGAATCTCTTGAGAGTCGTATTTCTTTTGTGTTTTCTAATAAAAAACAACGAAACACATGAATTAGGTATACATTTCTCTTTGTTCCAGGGACGTCAATTGCAAGATGTTACGCTCAATGAAATCAATTCACTTTCTGCAATGCATTTTGATCAACAGGTAAGAGTATTTTCTTTTTTTAAATTGAAATAAGAAAAAAAAGATTGAGTTAAGATTTATTTACCAGATAAAGCAACATTTTTATAGTTTTACTTACTTTAATATTTATATAGCTAAAATATATTGTCACATCGTCTACAATTAAGATATTAATACAAATGTATATATGAATTATGTTCTTTTTTTTGTAAATTTTGATTTTCTCACACAAACAGAAACATACTAGCGTAATATGTTGAATTTATATATTTATAGAAATTAAATAACAATATAATTTTGAATTATCGTAACAAGCTGTCTTATTGATTATAAAATCTTCAGTTTTCGAGACAACTAAATGAATGAGAAACGAAATTTTAATTCATTTTAAATGAACATAAAAAGTAGATCCCTCTTTTTTTTAGTATCATTTTTAATTAACAAACTCATAAAGAACATATGAATGATAACCCATTTTTAGTTAAATCTATTTTAAAAGAATGATAAGCATAAGTATTTTTTCAAGTGAGAAAAAGCTTTTGTGATAAGATTTTTTTCTTTTTTTCGATTATTTATCTATATTAGATAAAATCGAGATTAAGTTATGTGTAGTTTGCTTATCGTTTTCAATTGATAAATATTTTACGAATCATATAGTGTATACCTTAGCATATCATAAAAACTCAAACGTTGGATGTTTTACTTGAATTAGTATTTACGAATAAATTCTCGTACTTCTTCACATATATCCGATGTTTCAGCAAGGATAAATATTTCTGTTTTCTTGAATTAATAAATCCACATTTGTTTAAAAAGAATTCAACAAAGTTAATCTTCTTCAAAGTTTCATCAACTAATAATAATATGATCATTTCGATTGAGATTTTAGATTAAAAAAAATAGAATCAAAGGATTTCTTTTATTATGACATATCTGCTAAAGATAGAATGTTCAGTGATATCGTTATTAATCGAAAAATATACATTCATGAGTATAAATGAATCTAGAATATTTAATTGTAATACAAAAGATAAATTACAGCTTCTATAGTAAATATGACGAAGTCTTTTGCAAATACTAAATTAAGTTAACATTTTTATTTTTGTAGATATTAATTGTTTTTTTAAATTAACAATACTATGATCTGAAATAATCTATTAGAGTACCTCTTGTTGATTTGATAATTATTGAATTGAATAAATTAGTAACTTGCGAATTATTTTACTTCGATGCATTCTATTGAGAGTATATTCAATGAATTGCATTTCGAACAAATCAATGATATTAATATATCTAAAACATTTTCTTTTATGACGATGAATATGATTTTAAAATAGTCACTAAAAACAAAATGCCTATTATATTCTAATTGTTCGATAGTTCTTTTTAACACGAATTCTGATTTATTGAAAATTTATCTTACGTTAGAAAAATTGCATTACCTGTTTTCAAAGTATTCCAAAAATGCTTTCCGTATAGTTTTACTCTGAATTAAATATATTTTAGTACTACTTTCTTTTTAAATAGCAAGTCAGTTTAGAAAGTTGTTTTTTTCGAGAATTATTTATCGGTGATGACTCTCTATGGAAAGATACATGAGAAAAAAGAAAAACTATGAAAGAGCCATTTGAAATATGAATAATTTAACTATTGGCATAGTTGAAGAAATTGAAGATAGTTGAAAAATAAAAACCGTTCATAAATAATTCTCAGAAATAAAAGTTGTTAGCATAATCCGCTAGCAATTACTATATGCAACACAATGTAATTACTCTTTACAATTACACAGATAGATTATTTTATTAAAATCTTCACGGATGAAATACGGTATGATGTAGTTTACATATTCTGATAAGACTTGATTGATCTAAAATCTTTGACTATATATCAGCGATATTTCTTTCACAGTCTGTGGCATGGACACAATGAGTGACTTGTAATTAATATTGACACTTGAAGATTCTCTTCAGATCAAGTTAGACAAAAAAGATGCATTGAATATTTTTGTATTTTCATCCAATTTGACGACTTTGAAAGATAGTTTCGAAAATTCATTTTATCAAGTGAATTTTGTCTGGATTGAATTTTTGATAAAAATAATTTAGTCGATTTAGTTAAATTAATCGTGAGATACAATTTTCAACAGCCTCAATGCTTAATCGTATTTTTGAAGTTAAGAAGAAATAATTAATAATAGTAAGAAGAATAAAATTTATCATTTGAGTTTTTCAAAAGAAATTTTCTGTATTTCTTAAACGTTTATTTCTTGTTTTATTAGTTAAATGAAAACTGTTCGATAAAACAAAACTTCTTTCAAATAAAATGTTATAAACTAATGAAAATTTTGATTGAAAGAAAGTATAAATAATGGTTACAAATGCAAAAAGAATTCCACTAGATATACAAATCCTATGAGAAGTCTATAGCAGCAATAAACAGTAAAGATCCTATATATTCTTTATTTTCATAAGTATGTACTAATTTGAATTGACTTTTCCTGATAATGAACAAATTTTTACGAAATGATTTATTTCGCATCAGTTAATATTTATTTATATATATTTTTAATTAAATCATATCTTTTTTAGAAATAAAATAATAATTACAGGAAAAATCTGTTTAAGAATAATTTGGATTCAATTATTTCCTAATCAATTTATTAGTTTCATAGGTTTTGTAAATTCAAAATACCACAATCGATTTTATACTTCGTTTTCATATCACTGAACATTTAACGTGTAGAATAATCATATTGAATATCTATCAACAGAAAATTGACATTCTACGTTCGATATATTTACATTTATTCATTTTTCTCATATGAAAAGAGTAAAAAACTAGCATATATAAAACTATTTTTAATTTTAAATATTTTCTATCTAAAAATAAGTTATCTATGTTTATTTGAAAGAAATACTAAATACTTTCAATTAAGTTGAATCGATTCTATTATTGAAAAGAAAACACAGTTGTCTGAAGACTTTTACGATTCTCCTAACAAAAGTTCAAAAGAAAGAATTCTAAAAGGTTTTTTTAAAGTTTTATCATTACAATAATAAATATTCCTATAAATAGATTAAAAGAACATTCTGAAATATATATTTATATATACATTTTTGCTTGCTGTTAGAAATAAAGCTTTAAAGTATTTTTCTACGAGTGAACAAAAGAAAATATTCTTCTGTGAAAAACCAAAACGCTTAGGCAAAGCTTTATTTTTTATCTTTTGTAATAAAGAATTTTTTTCTTACTAAAAGGAACGGATGTAAAAGAAAGATTTTTATTAGACTATACGAATACAAACAAAAAATATCAACTTTCATTTGTAATCTTTCCCAACTTTATATTTTTAACTAATGTTTTTGAAGTCAAATAGTACCACTGTTCTTTTCCACCTATAGCTAGTTTGTTCGAATAATACTATTTTGTTTTAATTATTAAACAACAATTTAATTTATTCTTATTTAAAATAAAAATGTAATCTATATTCGATTCATTCAATATAAGTTTATTCATGAAACTAGATAACTATTGTCATTTATTCTTATTCGTCTTTTTTTTTCTTGTTAATAGCCTCTTCAATATCAACAACTGTCTCATCAATCTCATTCACATTGTCAGTATTTATTAATGATAAGAATGAAGTTAAATATAAAAATGTTTATTTTGTTTTTAAGTTTCGGATGATAGTGATTACACATCAGACGTATCTTATCCAATAAATACTCAAGCTAATTTAAATTATCCTGTTGCATCTATGTCACAATCGAATATAGATACATCAACAAATGAGAACATATCTTCATTAACATCAACTAAAAAACCATTAGCATTTGTTCAACCAGTTATGAGAGATTTAAATTCAGTACCAAACGCATCTCGGAGATTAAATCAAAATCAAATGCAAAATACAATGCCATTAGTGGAACAAGAACCACTTTCATATATTAGTCAACCGAGGAAGTTACCAATGAATAAAATAGCAAACTTCAATCAAGATGAAACGTAAGAAAAGAAAAAAGAAATATTATTATTATTGATTGATTGTTGTCTCGTCTGTGCATTATGAATAGAAAACATCAAAAATACTATTAATTCAGGTAATAATTAATGCTACTAATGCTGCATGAAAATGTCACAAAAAACAAGAGAGATCTACATTTATTTCAGACATCCAACATTTATTGTTTTGGGGAGAGAGAAATAGATTAATACTAATGTGCACTTTGGTTTTATTTTTGTATGACGTGTTTGTGTGAGTGTATGCGTGATTTTAGTTTTCATCCTTCAGAAAAAATAGCAAACAGTTTTTTCGCTTTAAATAATTTTATTTGTGAGAAACAGAATTAATATTGAAAGCAAGTTGTTATTCTATGACAAATGATGAATATGAAATAACTAATTGAATTATGTCAAGTATGACTTGAAACAGAAAGGCGATACTTATCGGATTATTTTATCGCTAGTGGAGATAAGCATCTCGAGTCACGATCAATTCATCTATCCAACAGGGAATTATAAAAGTTTACGTCCTTGTTTATTACTGAATGACAAAAATTATATTTTTGTTGGAAACACCTGTTAACAAACTAAGATAATCAACATAGAAAATTTATTTCGCATTTTTATGATTTATATGCTTTTTTCTTTATCATGTCTGTTTTTTTACACATGCCAACGCAATAATGCATTAAGTTTTGTTCTTTTTATTTGTGCTTATTTTTGTCTATTAATATTGACAATTGAGTATGATTTGATAGAGAAATCGAATGTCTATCAAGATAATCATCAAGTAGAGATGAATGAGAAGGAATTTCTCGTTTTTTACCATCATTGCCGATTTGCTTTTCTGCATAAACAAACAGATTTATTTGATGGTTCAATGAATAGATGAGTCTTCTGTCAGAACACAAAACGAGCAAATATATATGTATAGAAAGATGGAAGAAAAAAATTTTAAAAATTAGATGATCTTTCTTTCGGCATTGCCGAAAACGAATTTTTTTCTCCGTTTCATTCCGAGTATTAAAATGTTAATTGAAAAGTATTTCCTTTTTCTTTTTCTATCTATGAACACCTTCTAGACTTCGATCGATCAATCAACTAGTATCTGTAGAAGAAAACGCCATGAAATTATTCAGATTTCTTTATCTATGTGTATAGCGAGGCAGAAACAAACAAAGTGAATGAATGAGACAAAACCAAAAAAGGCTATCGAAATGATAGCCAAAAAAACGGTTGTACCAAGAAGACTGAGCCGATGAATGTGTGTCTCTGCCTGTCTATTCTTCTACTAGATTCGAATGCCATAACAAAAACAAAAGAAAAAGAAAAGAAAGGAAAATAAAAGAAAGCGAAAAGAAGAAGACTTCAAGAACATAACTCGTCGAACTGAGTAAAGAAAGAAAAGAGAGAAGACGAGAGGGCGAAGAAAAATCAATGTCGTTTTTTCTAATTTATTAATGAGCAAATACACATTCTCGCATTTTCACCCTCCTCCTCCTCTTCCTTGTTATTGCCTGGAGGACAGAGGACCGGATACAGGACGATGATGACGAGAACGCGCCGTCGAATCGTGCGGAGAAAATCTGTGCTGTTTTTTGCATGTGTATTGCTGACATAGACAAACGAAGACACAGCTTGTTAGTGGTGCTTCTTGTTCTCGTTATTGTTCACCATCATGTTTGGATGGTTGCGAGATACACTTACCAATGCTCGATCATCGTTTGAACATCATCATTCAATCACACCTTCCTCCTTTTTTCATCAACAAAAACAAAAGCAAAAAGAACGAACTTCTTCCGACGATGATGAATTAAATCAATCAAAAGATAATTCATTTTATCATAATCCTTATCAATCAAGTGGACAAATGAATTATATTGATGTTCCGCAACAACAATATACTAATGAACATACGTATCCAACTTATCTTGCAAAACAACAAATATCCGATTCAACAAATCAAACACTTGATGATCAGATTCATACGAAATTATTATCGCTACAACAACGTTCAAATCAATATCAATCTTACGCTCATAGACAAAATAATTATGCACATAGAAATAGGTCTATAATAACAACAACTCCATCTTCAACACTTCATTCTTCATTAATTCTTAATCGAAACGAACAAAAGAGAAGAAGCAATGAAGAACGATCTGATGATGATGATGAAGACGATGATGATGATGATGATGATGAAGAAGAAGAAGAAGAAAATGATGGTGATGCTGATAATGGTGACGATAATGATCATCATCATACTAATGATGACAGAAGATCGTCATCGATTGAAAATAATCTTGGCACTGCAGGCTACTATTCCGGTCAATATGTCAATATTGATGAACAATTTGATTTAGCATCCGTTGTTTTATGGTACAAAAATGTCATGCAATCTGTTAAAAGATTCCTGTGAGTCGAGAGAAAATCTCGTAATTTAATCATTGAATATATCAAAAAAGAGAAAAAGCTCAAGAAAATGAAAAGAAATTTATAGAAGTATTTAAATAAGTCAAGTAGTAAATGAATTAGAAAAGCGTAACTGTTTTATTCTTTTCGACTTGAAAATATTTCTGAATCTTGATTTATTTATCTTGTTTATAAATACAAAATAGAAAACATACAATAAATCTTTTGCTTTTTGCTTCCCATTAAACTTTTATGTTGAGAAAAAGAAACTGTTAATTGATCGTTCTAAATATTTACATGAACACTTCTAGAAAGAAAACAGTTAAATCATTAAATATTGTCGTATTAATAAGTTTCTTGTCGAGTAAAACAAGATAAATACATTTAGTCTATTAAAATAAATGATCATAATAATGAAAATTTTTATTCAACAATATGAAAATCAGATCATTTTTTGAAATGTTTGACATGCAACGCTTATAAAAGAGGAAGTTCGAAATGAATACACTATAAAAACGATTATGATTTATTAATGATATTGACGTTGAACCTTATTCACTATGAAAAGAACAGCAGAAAATGACTCCGATGATCAAAACATAAATATATATTTCTCATTTTTTTTTTATTTTTTCTTTTCCGAAAAAAACAAATGTTACTCTTTTGACATACGGCAAAAAGAGTAATAGAAAGTGTCTGTCATTTTTTTTTAATAGAGATATAAAAGATTAATTGTGGTTCCGGATATGACAAGTAGACAATTGTTTTAAACTGTATTTTCATTACAGACATGAAACTGATCTACTTTTTCAATGGTTTTTATATGCTCGTGTGATTTATTTTGAATAATTAATGCGGAAATAAATAGAATAAACTTAGAAATCATCTTGTATCTAAAATAGAAATTATCTATCTTTGAAAATATTTTCATCTTCTCATGCAAATATATGCTTTCTTTTCTATAATGGTTTCAATTTCTATTTAAACCGTTGATTATATATATTTTGTGAAATATTATTCAACTTTATTCTATTCTATGAAAGTTTCTATCAATATTTGAATAAAAAGCATTCTGATGATATACATCAATGTGATAATTAAATAGCATGATGTCTTCGGTTTTTTCTAATACTTTAAACTGTGTAAATAATTAGAAATACTAAACTAATTTAAACAATAGTTGCATGCTTTAACAGTAGAATATTAATAGAAGTTGGTTAAGATAAATAATTATTTTACTTTTTTCTTTCCTTTTTAGTCCAACTGGTCACAATTATATTCATTCTGAAAAAGATGAATATCATAATCATCATTATTCCATAAGTAGTAAGAATTCAATGCTATCAAGAAACACTAACCAAGAAAATATTTTATCAAATAATGGAAATGAACAAGTAGCTATTCCATTATCATCGTCAAAAGTAAAATGGATTGATGCTGTACGAACAGTAACACAGTTAAATCAAGTAAGAAAAAGAAATAGAAATAAATGTTGATTAGAAATGTGTGCATTCGTATAGAAAAATATTTTCATTATGCTAGATTTACGTACATGACCTTCAGTTTATTGCATTTTTATCTTATTAACTCGTACCAGACTTGATTTCCAATGTCGCCTCTATTGCTTGAATCTGTTGCAAAACATGATGTATTCCTAGTAGAAATTCCTTCATATAATTATTTATCTATCACATAGTATTTTTATTTTGTTTATTCAAATGATAGAACATATGTTTTTTTCTTAAAAGTTCCAATTCCATTAATTGTTTTTCATCACAAAATATATCAATAAATGGTTGACTTTTCTTGAAAAGAACTAAAAAAAAACTAGGCAAATACATGTCTTTCTCCGTCAATGAATTATCCAAAGTAAAAGTTTCATCTAGAAAAAAAGAATCAAAAATAGAATTTTATGTATTTCATAATGTTATTTTTTAATTCATATTTGAAAATTTTCACATACGAATAAGTAGATATGCGCGCAGCTGCATCTATATAGAGCTCCAAGTAAAATCGTTTTTTTTAATTTTCATGTATTATCCAATAAGTAATCATATAGAATGCTTCTTCTCATTACAAAAAGCTAATCAATGAAATATATTTCATTCATTTTTGTAACAGTTGTTACTGTTAGTTTCGAAAAATTAAAATAGTGACAGCAAAACAAAACTCCGTTGGTTTTCTATTTATCATTCAATGGATAAATTGTCATGTTACTGTTGTTGCAAGTAAATAAATACATATACAGATATGAGAACTATCTATTTAAATCGAAATTCAATTTCAAGTTCTCTGGTAAAATTCGATCCATGTTGTTCAACAATAAAATTAGATATCGGAGCAGATTTATATGGTGATGATTTCAAATGGGAAAAAAGACATTTATTTATCATTTACCAGACTTCGATGCATTGTTATCATATGATGTTAATGAACTGATGAAAATTTTATGTAATCGTTTTTCTAAAATTTGATATGTTATCACCAATAGATCAATGTTCATCACCTTCTTGTCAATCACCAATAACTGATACAGAATATTTGAATATCAAGTCAAGATTCAAGAAAAGAAAATTTTCTGAACAGTCATTCTACATCATCAACAATTACATTTAATGGAAGATTTTTAAATGAAACTCAAATAATAAAACATTTATTGTATCGAAGTCTATCTGGTTGAAATTTAATGATGCAAGAAACAAAATATTTTCTTGTAGCAAAACATTTATCATTAGTCAATATCAAATCGAATCGATTTGAATGAATACATATATTCAAAACATAGAAATCCATTTAGAATAATTTTACCTAAGGTAAACTATCGTAGCTATATCATTTTGTTTAAAATCTCAATCGAAATCAAAGTTATTTATTACAATAAAAAATATTAAATATTCGTGATTATCAAAATTAGAGATGTTTCATTTTCTATGTGATTTGATTAGGAAAAAGATTTTCAATTTTTTTTTCGAAACATTTCAAGCAACAAAAAGATCTATTATTACAGTGTTAGTGTTAGTGATGTAGCTTACTAACGCTAAACGAAGGTTAAGATGTTCTTCTAGTTTAACTGGTTAGGACATTTGCCCGGATAGCGGAAGGCGTGGGTTCGAGTCGCACGAAATTCACTTTTCTTCGGTCTGTCACATAACATCAGTGACACTGCTTGTCTCTTTCGCTCTTGATATATCTCTCTCATTCCTTTCATATCCTTTTCCTTCTATACATATTAGAGCTAACACACAGAAGAAATCATTGAAATTGATCATACTATTCAAGAATAGATTTACAAAAAATAACTCAATTTATTATTTCGTTTTATTTATCGTTCTAAATTTGGAAAAAGTTTCCGCCAACATAATTATTATATAATGCGAATAAAATCGATCTGAAGATATTTTATTCAAATAATAGAATTTGATTTATAGACGAAGAGTGAAAATCCTAAAGACTTCATTATTTATTATCCTTTTCATGCCTAAAAATGCAATTGAAATAAGTGATTACCTCTCTTGTGATTAATATTCAAGTAAATCTTATTCTTTTTAATAGGATTTCTATATCGACTATAATTAGTTGATTAACAAAAAAAAGGTTTTCGATCGTTTTCAAACTTGTTATGAAATATTCCAAGTTTTTTTTTGCCCAGAAGTACATTCTTCTAATCTACCGTATATTTGAACGACGATACGAATTTATTATTAAGCTATAGCAAATACTTTGTGTGGATCAACTAAAAATTTATAATTCCTACGCAGCTATTAGAGATTTTGTTCGAATGACTTCATTTTATATTATTAAATAATAATAATAATAATAATATTGCTTGTATTCAATTAATTATAAGAGACAAAATGAATTGGGTATGTTTGATTAGTTAGAATCAGAATTAATGTTAAATATTTTACTTTGCTTTTTTTACTTTTGTTGCTTGAACTGAATTTAATTTTTAGTTTTCTTTTTGTGTTTGATAAACAATCTTTTGTCAATCATTTTCCACTTCATTGAATATTATCTTTTTGTCAATCGTTTTCAAACAGGGATAAAGATCAAAATAGACAGGTCTTTTCTTTTCTCTATTTTCTTGTGATATTTGATGACAATGATAGTTCCAATTAATATCAAGAAGCTCAAGAGAGACTTTATTCTTGTGTTGTTTTTTGTGGAATCCCTTGATTGTCATTCAAGATTAATTACATTTGGTTGCTTCACATTAAAAAAAGAAAGAAAGAAATATCCGAAAATTTGAGTAAGATCATTTCTAGCTGAGATCACTCGGAAAGATGCTTTTGTCTGTATTTGACTTAGAAAAATCCACTTCAAAATGATTTGCATTTATTAAAATTGATATTTGAAAGAAACAGAATACTTTTTGCTTCATTCTTGTTATTACTCATTTAGACGTATGTTAAATGAATAATATAAAACATTATATAATAATGCATTGATTTTTTGTTAAAGAAAACTCAATATATCAAATTAAAAAAGCAACAAATTTTTGTTGTATTTTGGTAAATAGACATGCAGAATAAAAGAGAACATCTATTATTGTTATTATTATTATTATTATTATTATTATTATTAGTCTTCTCTTTCTATTCAGTTTGACACCTTTCGTTCTCTGACTGTCAGTCGTTATCTATCGACATTGACGGTTATTCCTGTTGTTGCTTTGCTCATTTAATAGGCTAAGTGTGTTTTTATCTGGTTTGCCGATATTTCTCTTTTCTCCATTATTTTCTTAGCTATATTTTGTCGTACTAGTAGCCATAGAAAGTTATTGCGTGACATTACCGATGCCCAACAAGAGAGTGAAAGGAAAGAGAAAAACAACAAGTTCTACTCTAGTATTACTCTTTCTCATTTCTTTTTTTCCTTTGTGTTTCTTCTGTGTTTTTGTAAAGAGATCAAGCGAAGATGTTACTGTCTTCAGGATGATACTGTAAGCGAATATCCATCGTTCTAATAAAAAATATAAATGAAAAGATGCATTATATTCATGGCTTACCGGTTTGTCCACCATTATGTCCTCCATTAGCGCATGATGATTTAGTTTCTGCATCTGACGAAAATCTTCGTCGTCGATCAAATTTTTTATCGAATGAAAAGTTAAGTGCGTACGCCAAACAAATCGGTCGTCATTTTATTTTTTCGTTTTCTCGAAACGAGAATTCTTATGACGAAACAGATATTGATGAAGACTTTGATCAAATATCTTTATCAGACAACTATTGTGTGAGTTTGTTAGAATATAATTTATCGTCATATTAGAGATTATTAATTCTTGCTTTTAATGTAACAATTCAAATTTCATTTTCTTTTTTATTCCCATAGAATTCCCATGGACAACCAGAAAATTTAAATGTTGAAAGAGCAAACGCACGACAAAGTTCAACACTAGTTGGTACTGATGGATTGATGAGCATGAGAAGAATTCTTCCAGGCATAACTAATGTAACAAATAATCATAATGACACAACAACTGACGATGGAATAGGAAAAACGACAAACGGAGGAATTAACAATGGAAAGTATGTTCTATGCTTTTACATTTTCTATCGCAAGCCATGATATATATATATATATATATATGATTAATCTCATAGTTTTTTTTTGCAAAAAATGTGCAAGATTAATCAATAGCTTAAAACGATCAGCGAAAAAAATTGTCTAGCTGCGCTTACTGGAGAGTGAGAAAAAAAAGATATAATTTGTTCTTCTTGAACACTTATGTATTTTGTTTTTCATTAATCAAATGGAAATATATTTTCAAACTATTTACCAACCTAATATTTCGAGGAATTGATCTTAAAATCAATAAAAAATTTTTTTTTACAGATCAATAATTTTATCCATGATACATTTGTCTATCCGTTTTTATTATGATGATTCTCAATATATAGAAAAAAAAAGAAGTTCATATGGCATTATGTTACTGAATACTAATATTTTTTCATGAATTATTATTCTAAAGAAGAAAAGGAACTTATTTGAAAACTTATTAAAAGTCATAAATATCTTTAGGAATTTTTTTTCTTTATATAATGAAATTCAACGAAGTATATAATTGAGTTTTTTTTACTTGTTCATCTACTTAAATTCATATATTTGTAGACAGCTAATTATATTTTCTATATAACACGTCGTCATAATGAGAAACAATCGCCGTGAAAGAAGTTATGATGATTATTGAAGTTAATGATTAACTATTATAACGATTGGGACATGTAATCGTTTTATTTATATGATGTTTTACTATTTGAAATCATTTGTTTATAATATCTTATGTTTTCAATGGAGTTTTCAGATGATTCTAAAGAAGTAATAGATCGTCTACTTTTCCTTGCTATTTATTTTCTGTGTCCATATGATAAGATGACATTTTATTTAATAGGGCTGATTCATTCATGTACAATTGATGAAAAACAAAAGTATCATTCGTTATTTACTACAAATGACTTCATAAAAACGAATTTAATATATATATATTTAACAA